TGGTGTGTGTGTGTGGGGGGGTCTTTCTTCCCCTTTGTGTGTGTACACGAGTGCATTGTGTGCCCATGCGTTTGCACACATGCATTGTGTGTGTGTGTGTGTGTGTGTGTGTGAGAGAGAGAGAGAGAGAGAGAGAGAGAGACTGTGTGGTGTGTGTGTGTTTATGTGTGTGTATGTGTGTACCTGTTGCATTGTGTGTGTTCATGTGTATGTATGTACCTATTGCATTGTGTGTGTTCATGTGTATGTGTGTACCTGTTGCATTGTGTGTGTTCATGTGTATGTGTGTACCTGTTGCATTGGGTGTGCACATCGATGTGTGTGCGTTTGTGTACGTGTGTCACAGACGCACCTGTGGCGGGTAAATGTCCACAGAAGTGTGTCTCCTCAGGTGCCATCCACCCTGCTTTCTGAAACAGGCTGTCCCACTGACCTGAGGCTCACACAAGGAGTCCGGATCGGCTGGCCACCACACCCTGGGGGTCCGGTCTCCACTGCCCAGCACTGGGATCGCACTGTCTTCCTCATTACTTGGTTTCTGGAAATCCAACCTGACCCCCAGCTGATGGACCCGACTCTCAGCCTGTTTGGCATCGTTCTTTGTGCTAAAATCAGCATGGACAGGCATGCGCAGAGTGTTTACAACTGTAACTCGGGGATCCTGTGTATATTTCCAACCCTTAGGGTCACATCCTGGGCAATCTAGTGACTACCCCCTTGGTCTATATTTACAGCATATAAGACAAGATCATCTTTTAAAAAAAAAGAATACAACAAAATACAAACAAACAAAACCGGGAGGGATCTCAGGTAGCCCAAGATGACCTGCAGCTCACCATGTAGCGGAGGGTGTCTTTGAACTTCATATCCTCCGGATGAAATTACATGTGTGGACGTCCACACCCACTCTTAGAGCGCTCAGGATTGTGGCTAGGGTATCACGCATGCTCGACAACAGCTCAGCCAACTGAACTACATCTCAAGTCCTTCAATGGTTATTTTCTAATGAATGTGGGGCTGTGGGGGGGGTGAGGGGGTGTGGGGTGTGGAGTGTGTGGGGTTTGGAATGTGTGTGGGGGGTGTGTGGGGTGTGTGGAGGAGTGTGTTAGTATTATGGGGTGTGTGGGATGTGTGATGGGTTTGTGGGGATGTGGGGTGTGTGTGGGGGGCATGTGGGATGTATATGGAGTGTGTGTGGTGTGTGTGTGTGAGTGTGTGCACTGTCTCTGTTAAGTCTTATGCAATGTATCTGCAGTGACCCGAGTGTCCAGCAGAGAGCAGCAGACCCTGCAGAGTTTGAGTCACAGGTGGTTTTGAGCTAGGAAATGAAGTCTGGCTTTCTGTAAGGGCAGCAAGCACTCTTAACTGCATCCCTCCAACCCATGTTCTTACAAAAGCTGCAAAATATGGCCACAACATCCCCCCTTGTGGCACTGGAAATGTTCCCAAGGCCTTGTCATCCTAGCCAGCTGTTTCAGCATATGTAAACATGTTTTGTACCCTGGTACTTCTACAAAAGTGGGGTGGCTGGGTCCAAACTGGGCATTTGGACAGGAAATGAGCAATTTTAACCTTACAAGGATATGGGATTCTCTAAAGACCCCTGTGATATTACACACACACACACACAGAGACCCAAATGTTATTGGTATTTATTTTTCCCATTTTAAATTTAGATGTATAGCAACCAAACAGGCCAAGGATGACTCTATGGGAATGCAGTGGGATGCTTTCCTGGGGGCAGCTGAGACATTGGGCCTTCTTGTTCCATGGCCAGATGTGGGCTCCTGGAGCGATGGAGACAGACCCCTTTCAGGATGTCATGAGGGCTATACACGTGTCTACCAGGCTTATTTTGCAGACAGTTCCAGAGCTCAGGCCGAAACGCTACCCTCGAACCCCCCAAGATGAGCCCCACTCTTGAAATTTCAAGTGACGCAGATAGCAGCATCCCTGACATTTCAGAAGAACACAAACCCCGGTGTTTTGCTAAATGTTAATGGGTTTCTGTGCCCTCTGCTGGCTGCCTCTGTATTCAATGCGCACTGCGGAGGCAGGGCCTGGAGACTGGAATTTTCCTCTGCCTGAAAGCCTGCTGTTCCCCTGAAGCAGCTCTGGCCTGGGGGCGCTCTAGGTGTTGCTGAGAAAGTCTTGCACTCAATGTCCAGACCAGCAAGTTTACAGGAAATTATTAATCTCCCGCTTTGGGAGTTATTAGTTCTGGATGGAGACTCTTATTGTATAAGGGTTTGCTGAGAATTTATGAGTCCCTCTGGAATCCGGGAGGGGATCGATTCTCAGCGAGCAAACATTTTAAGCAAATTAAGTGTTGGTGGTATAATAATACAAATAATGCCTGCCATTTTTCAAGTGTCTGCTTCGTGCCAGGCATTTCAGGTCTCTAGGGGCGGCAGGGGGAAGGCTTTATTGCCCCAAACACTCACGGTGAGGCAGCTGAGGCCCCAAGAACTGCCCCCTGGTAGGCCCTAATGCCACACACCTGGGGGCAGAGGAGCCCGTGAATCACATTCGCCAGACCACAAAGTCAACCCTCCTGCTCGTCGAGGGGTCAGTCTAGCAGGCAATTCTCATGGGCTGTTTCTCCCACGACGCGGCTGGTAGTACAGGCCGACAAGCCCTATGTGTGGTGTGGGTGGAGGGAGCCGAGGGCATCAGGAGGTGACCGCTGGGCCTGCGACCATGCAGCTGATGAGGGTGGCGGCTGAGGAGATGGCTCCCCCAGTGATGTTTACTGTGCAAGCATGAGGGCCTGGGTTTGAGCCCCAGAAACCACATGAAGGACCCCAGGTCTGGAGACAGAGCTCGGTGGTTAAGAGCATTGGCTGTTCTTGCAGAGGACCCGAGTTCAGTTCCCAGCACCCATATGGTGGCTCACAACCGTCTGTAACTCCAGTTCCAGGGGACTCAACACACTCCTCTGGCCTCTGCAGGCACCAGGCACACACACACACACACACACACACACACACACACAGAGACGTTACAGGAAGGCAAAACCCCATATACATAAAAAATTTTTTTCCAAAAAAAATTCATCATGATGGTAGACAAAGCACTTGCAATGCCTTGCTGAGGAAGTGGAGCCAAGCAGATCCTTAGGACCGGTAGCTAGCCCGGCCCTATTTGGTGAGTTCCAGGCCACCTAGAGACCTTATGTCAAAAAATAAATAAATAAATGGAAAAAATAAATAAAAATAAATTAAAGGGTTATGGTACCTAAGGAAGCACCCATCGAGGCTGTGCTCTGAGTATAGCCCCAAACACACACATCTGCATGTGTACACACGTGGTGGGGTGGGAGACCACAATTTTAGCCCATGGCATGCAGAAGGCAATGTTATAGTGGGCAGAACACCGTTGCTTGTGGAAGTCTGCTCTACTTGGGTCTCAAGTTGAGGCCAGACAGGCTTGAGAGGCTCCACGTGGACTAAGGCTCTCTAGGTCTACGCTGTAGAGAGACTGGAATGGGTCAACCTGCTCACCCAGTGCTCAGTATAAGCCCAGGCAGGGTCATGGGGGACTCTTTCCCCCACTCTCTAGAAACCCTAGACTAGGAAGCATAGAGGGAGCGTCCAGATGTGTGGTAGGGGCTTCTGGGAGGCCAGGGGACTCAAGGGCCCAGGGACAGCTCTACTGTCTGCTGATGACACTTGGAATGGGGACACCTGGGGAGAGGCCCACCATCTCAGTCCTGAGGAAGCCATGCAGGCTACTGTCTTTAAGCTATTTGCTTGTGCTGCTGTCTTGAAACTTTCCACTGTGCTGGCTTTCGTGACACAGGCCAGCTGCAAATGACCTCTGCAGGACCCGCCGGAAGGTGAGTCTGGAGACTCACTCAGCGAGGAAGAGAGAGAGCACTGGTCACTAGACACTTGGCTTTGAGAACCCTCATAGCCAAGTCAAATGGAAACACAGTGTCCAGTGCAACCGTCATCTTTGCTGTGTCATCCTGTGGGACTGACTTTCCAAAGCTATTTCCTAGGCTACAAGGTGAAGAGACAAGGAAGGTTGCTTGGATGTTGCCTTGCAAGTCATCAAGGATATACTACAGCACTTACCCAGGGCACTTAGGTTCAAGGGCTAGTTGGTCCTCAGAGTCCGATAGCCAGAACTGAAGAGAGCCCAGGAAAGACACCAAGTGGGACAGCCTTCCGTTTCTCCCTCCCTCAACGGTCCCACCATGGCTTCCAGTGCTTCCGCAAGGCTCCCAGACAAGGTCTCAAACGACTTGTTGGGTGTTCCTCAACGGTTCTAGCAGCCTTAGGGACCAGGAGCAGGGCTCATCCTCCTCCATCCTCTACAGGACACCTTTGGTTCTGAGAAGTGAAGATCCACCCAGAACCTTGAGCCCAGAGGACCCTACTATCCCCTGCTCTGTACCTCCAACTCCTCACATGTGAGGTCCCTGGTGACTGAAAGGTCAGTCCCATGAGGTCACAGATGTAGGGGAAACACGGTCCTCTCCATACAGAAAGTGTCCCCAGTATGTGGCAGACCATGGTTCTCTTAACATTCTAGACCTGCCCCAGGGCATGGGCCAGCAAGGTTTTTTAGCTCCTACAGGAACACTGAAGATGACCCTTACCTTGATTTCCTTTGTTAGTTCCTGTTTATAAACAACAAAACACTCTTCAAAATAAGCATGGAAAGCATTAACCCCAAGTGTAACATTCTACTGAGCAATGGCAGAGCTGTTGACATGCCTCATATGGCCTGTGACGTACTGTCGTTTCTATGTGACTTGCAAGAGTGTGTGTGTGTGTGTGTGTGTGTGTGTGTGTGTGTGGTGCTGAGAAGTGAATCCAGGGTCTTGTGCATGCTGGGCAAGCCCTCCACACCTAAGTTGTACACCCAAGACCCAATGAAAGGTATTGAGATCGTCTCTAATGGAAGTGTCCTCAGAACCCAGGACAGTGTCCAAGTGACCCTACCCCAGACTGAAGAAAATGTCTTCACAGAGAGCCTGATGCCAACAGATGTCTAGCCAAGTGTTTAATTGAATTGGGGTAAATGGAGTGCTTGTCCCCAAAAGTATGGGTCCTCATGCCAGTCCATTGGCTCTTCCAATAACAAAGACTGCTTAGCAAGCTCCTGGCAAACACAATACTTGGAGGGACTCTGCTTGTTAAGTTAAAAAGGTACCCATAAGGTCACCCCCCTCCATGCGCCTCATTAGCTAAGTGACCCGACCCAATGGGTGGGGGGGTTGTTTAATATCTGCCTATTGACTTTGGAGCATGCCTGCCAAAAATAAGATCTCAGTTTGACATTCTTGATGCTGAGATGTGCTTTTCTGACTCTTGTTTGTCAAACAGATGGCTGAGGCCAGGCACAGCCACGTCGGCTGGTGTAAGACCATTGTCAACAAAGGTCTTGTGACACCAGGAAACACAGGCCGTTAATTTTGAAGTGAGGCCTAGCTGTTGGGACATTGCAAGGAAGGGCAGCCAGGGTGCAACGTCACTCTTGCCCGATTCCACCTCATGCAACTTGATGAGTGGCCAAGAGACCTTTGACAGATACATGGACTCCAGAACTTGTGCTGTGGCTCAGGGGTTCAGGGAAACATATGGCCCACCGGGAGTAACAAGGTGGACATTATGTGTCACTAGAAGGTCTGTGGCTGTCCCCAGACGGCAGTTGTAGAACTGGGGATCATCCTAATGGGATTCAGGTTCTTCCTAGCACTTTCTCAGTGAAACAACAGTTGAGCAGCAAGCAACTGTCCCTCGGGCATGCTTTTCACACCTTGCTACGTCTTCAGAATTTCAAGGCAATATTTTTAAAACCAGGAGTTAAACTATCACGAGAGTCAGGTTTTAGCTCTGGAACATTCTAGAACAACCTAGCAACTTCTGCCTTGCCTTTCTGTTGGAGCTGGATCCCCATGCCCTTTCGTGGGCATTTGGCCTCACTGTTGGCTTCTTTGCTGGTAGTCTGCACTTGGTTCACTCACCCCCACTGCAGGGTCTAAGGTATAGATAGTCTGAGGCGGATCCAACAACAGGCACTCTGAGCTAATTAGCTCCCAGGGAAAGGGGGTGCTTGGGAAAGTGTGAAGGGGCATGGAGGCCTGTGGGGACCACTAGGTTGGGGCCACAGGAAGAGGCCGACAGCCTAGCTGTCCTTCTTGTCTCTTGGGTTTTTTTTTTCCTCCACCCCTAAGGCCACATGTGTCCTTGCCACAAGGACAAGAACACAGCCCCTTGGAAGACCACTTTTGGAGGCTCACAAGCCCCACTCCCAGTCTCTCTTCCGCCCCATGCTCACACAGCAGACCCCTCAGAGCTGGCTCAGGCTAAAGCTGTGTCATTCCTGGCCACGGAAATGGTTAGCTGCCTAGGCTCGACAAACAAATTCACAACCTACGCTGCACACGACCTCCTGACGTCGGCCAGTGCTCTCTCTGCTCGATAACAGGGGTGCTATTATCATTCCTGCTATTACTCCTATTATGCTGGTGCATTAGATGGCCTCAAAGGGGAGAGATAATTGGCTACCATCACCCCAAACGGTGTGATTGGGTGCCACATACAAAGAGCTTAAAATTAAAGGCTGGCATTGTCGGCCTGGTGGGGACAGAATGGATTACAAAAGAGGTGAGCTCACCCACTCCATTATACCCTCCCAGACACACTGGTAAAAGGACAACCAATTTGGTGACTGATTCAGATCCGTCCCTTCCTTTTGTGTCCTAATGAGTGCCATGGGGGCCACTGCGGGAGCTGCAAGGTTACCCCAGAGCAGGGTGATGGGCAGGCAGTGCTCAGGGAGATAGCGCTAAGATCTTCTTTGACACAGACTCAGGGCTGGGCTTCTTTGGAGCCTCCTTCACTGTCAAGTCATCGGGGTCCTTGGTCCCGGACTTGATCATCCAGTAGAGCAGGAACATCTTGCGCTCAAAATGCATGCGGTTCAGGCGCCGTGCGATGGTGACGGGCGAGTCCCCCTTGGCGTCTCTGTCGTGGATGGAGGCGCCATGTTCCAGCAAAGGCCTGATGCAGTCTGTCCTGCCCATGGCTGCAACCACATGCAAGGGCGTCCTGCCCAGGGGCGATTTGCCCAGGCAGTCGGCTCCTGTGAGATAAAAAAAAAAAAGACCTGTTGGAGTGGGCTGCTCTCCCAGGCAGGAGTCCCACCATCTGACCCCGAAGTACAAGAAGGGGGCCAGGGCTATGGCGGGAGTTGCTCCCAGAGACGATGGTGACCTCCCTTCACTCATCACCCTTCCTGTCTAGCCTGGTCTCCTGGGGTACCCATTCCAGTCTCCTGTTCCAAGCCTATCACCAAATCTTGCTGCCTGTGGGGCACTCTTTTGATGTCTGCCTGACTCACTACACTGCCTGGCTATTCCAACACGGTCCCCACCCCTCCCTTGAGCTTCCTACTGAGTTCCTTGGCTTCCAAATCTCCAGCCCCATGGACTTCCTGTCTTGACCCTTAAATATAGAATTCTGCACCCTGCCCCTGGCCCTTTGCACACACTATTCCCGCTACAGACTACACCTTTGCTTTCTTTTCTCTTCTTAGAGTTTCAGTAACTTCCTTAGCTCCTCCTCCCTGCAACCCCTACCCCACTCCACACACACACACACACACACACACACACACACACACACACGTCCGGTAGGCGCAGTGTTTAATACGTCCCATTATGTGCCTAGCTATGGAATTAATCATTTGTAATCAACGGCTTTCCTGCCTAAGGGCCAGGAGGAAAAAAAAACACATGGTTTGAGCACTGCTGGTTTTTATGCTCCCCACACAGCTAGAGGTACTGGGGAGGTGATGAGGGATAGCAGCCTAAACATGGACAGATCTGGATTCTCACTGCCTCCTGCAGACAGATGGACTGGCGACAAGGGTCCAGGATGGACTCAAGGAGTTGAATCAAATTGTGGGTAACAGAAATCATGACACAGAAAACTAGGCAATTCGATTCCACCCAGCTGGCACCGCGGCTGCCACCACAGTCCAATTGAGCTATGGCTGGCAGGCGAGGCCTTGCGCCTCCCCCTGTGGTGGCGGCAGAGGATGGCAAACTTTGCAAAGCCCGCCGTCATTTTTTAACGGGTGCCTTCAAATACATCACAGCTCCATCAGAGCGAAGATGACTCTTTATGAGCTTAAAGGACTGCTGGGCTGTGAAAGCCCATCTTTCATTGTATAAGAGAAGAGCAGAAAGGCAGTGTGGGATGGCAGAGAACGTGGTGTTATCACCCAGCTGTCCCCAAGCTCTGTATTAGACATGTGACATGCCAGCATTCTTCCCCGCAAAGTTGAGGTGTCTCCCACCGTGCCTGCAGATGGAAATGAAGGGTTCTGCATGGAGTCAGGAGCTCCAGAGAAGCCAGAGGCGCTTGCTGTGGCTTCCTTGGGACAAGCCATGGTTTTGGGCTGTCTGAACCTGTGGTACTGTTTTTAGTGGTTGGCCTCTCGATTAGAGGGATCATTCCCCTAACCAGGGAGAATGAAAGATTCCTTGACATCTGTCCAGACACAGTGCTGACTACAGCTTTAGACAGATGGATGGATGGATGGATGGATGGATGGATGGATGGATGGATGGATGGATGGATGGTCACTCTTCAGTGGGGACATGATCGAAGGGGCGGGGGCGGGGGGCATCTTTCTGAGGATCTACTTGAGCTGGCCACTCCTTGTGATACCCAGGGTGAGGTGAGGCCCTTTGGGACCATTGCAGGTAATCTACCTCAGGTGAGGCAAGGATGAAGCCAGACCATGGGCTGCTTGGAAAGGGCAAGCTAGGAATTCCTGGACATCCCCCATGTCTCACTGTCCTATAATTTTGGACCCTACTACAACAGAGGCCTGGGCCTGAGATGTGCAAGCCTCTGGTGGTCACGTCCTAAGGAACCCAGGGGGAGACAAGTTTGGGCGCATGAGAAGATTGGGGGTCCAGGGAGCCCACTGCTGAAGAAACAAGACAGACAGATCCTTCTGTCCTCCCAACCAGAACCAGGCCATGCTTTCTGCAGAATTACCAAGTTCTAGAAGATACTTCACGGCATCCACGTGACCTCTGTGAGCAGTGATGTACAAGGCCACAAACGCCCTGTGGGTGGTCCACTGCTTCCACTGCTCACCCTTAAAGTGCTGCGAGTTCGCCGTTCGGTAGAAGGTGTCCTCGCTGATGCCAAGACACGACAGCTAGGTGAAGGAAATAGGTCAGGCTCGACTCTGGAGCGTGGTCCCACCCCCCAATGTGCATGACGCTTGCTTGCTCCAAACCAAGGTGCACAGTGGGAGCGGGGTGGGGCTGACAGGGGACATCGCTGGGTGATCTGCACACACTCGGGAAGGGGGACACACGAGGGCCTCCCTGTCGGTGATTTTAAGGGAGAGGAGGACTTTGCTAGTGTCCAGAGGGAGATGGCCCTTTGGAAAAACAACCCAATGTGGTTCCCTATAAGGAGCTCAAAAGGAGGGAGGTCCTCTAGGCACTGTGATGGATTCTGCGTTTCCAGTCTATGTCTCTGTCAACTTCTGGAACTTTCTGAACTCTTCTGGCAGGTGGGTAGCCCGTCACAGAACCATCTTGGGAGAGACACAAGTCTTCAGGGATGGGGAGGAGGGCCACGGCGAGGACTGTGCTCCGGATGTTGGGGGGGGTGGGAGGGGTGGTCAGGTAGCGGGTTGCGTGAAGAGGGTGGGTGGGGCCAATTGCACGGGCAACAGTTACTCCCTCAGGCAGGAGGAGACAACTGGGGAAACTGAGAAAGCAGAAATTGGGGGAGCAGGTAGAAGACAACGCTACAGCTGGAGAGCTAGACAGACCTCGCTCCTCCGCCTCTCCCTCCACTCAAGCTCCCCTTGGACCCCTGTCCCACCAGGAAGCTGCCTCTTCCTCTCCTCACAAGTCCTTGAGCGCCCGTGCGCGCGCGCGGGGCAGGGGTAGGGGGTGGGGGGTGGGGTGGGGTGGGGTGGGTGGGGAGGGAGGGCTACAGCCCCGTTCTTGGGACTAAATTTGATTTTCAACTTGAGCAACATGTAGGTAGAAAAGTACCACCTGAGCTCCACTGCGGGTGGCGTGAGCAGGTTTATAACCTGTAAATAAGTAAACCCAGGGGGGCTCGCCAGGCCAGAGCGGCTGCAAACACTCTATTCGGGAGTCTCATCTTTCCTACGCTGAGGCTTTTATTGAAATGCTCATGCTAACGCCCGGAGGGCCCCTCAACCCCTACTATGGAAAGAAGCATATAACCACCTTACTGGGGTCCCCTTCCACGGCTGCCAAAACCAGTTCTGTCCAACCATCATAATGCCAGATACACAACGAGATGACGGCTCCGGGGATGACATCGTAGAACTTCAGGATGGCGTCATCCATCAAAATCCCTATGGAGAACAATTTTTCCTTTTAACAAAATTAGGACTTCAAGAGAAGTCACTGTATCTGTTGAGACAGTGTCTGACCTTGAATCACACAAAGATACTTTTAAAATCTTAAGCAAAGGGGAAGGGGAGGGGGAAGTCTTCCACTTGATGGCTGCACAGGATTCCGTTTGCTGCTGCTAATGCTCTTTAGAAAATTAATTTGGCTCAGCTCAGATCGAAGCTGGGCCCAAAAAGAAGAAAAAAAAACACATACACAATGGCAATGATTTATAAAATTTTGTAATTACAGCTTGTCCTGTTGGGGAAAAATACATGAGTCAGTGAAATCGTTTTATGAGGCAAACTCTACAAATAGAACTACTTAAATCTGAGCTATACATCACAGGCTCGACAGTGTACTTAGCAAGTTATATACCTTCAACTGAACACCGACTCCAGGGAATGTTGCCATTAGCTGGCTAAAGAGACGACAGTGACATGAACGATCTGGCAAATGACAGACAGCCCACGTCAGGGTTTTTCCACAGAGGTGTTTAAGTGACATTCTCAACTAGGTAACTAACCCTCTCTACCCCACACGCCTCCGTGGCCTCCACCAAGGCACATCAGCTGCACCTACAGCTAGCTCTTAACAGTCCAAGATGTCACCCAGGCATGGCTCCTGTTGGGGACACACTGTCCCCATACAAGCCTATGGTAACATCAGAAACATATATTGATGCTCGCTGTATTTGGACCCTGGTGTCAGAGCTCTTGCCTGACTCAGCTTGGCATCTTGAGTAAGATGGATCTGCGAAGAACAGTGGGTCTAACCCCACACTCATAAACCAGCCAGGCTTGGTGGCACACACCTGTCATCCCAGAACTTGGGAGCTGGAGGCAGAAGGATCAAGAGTTCAAGACTACCTTGAGATATGAGATCCTATCTAAATAAATACTTATATAAGTAAACAAACAAAATAATTAGCCCAGGCTTTGGAAACGATCATTGAAGGGGCATTAGGTAGGGAGTGTCTTTTGACATGTACCAGAGTGTTTAGCTTCTCTTTTAAGACACAGACGCCTCCATCTTAGGAATCACGGAGGACTTGGATTATTCACAATCAATAATGAGCTGCCCAGGCTACCGAGCACTCCTTCCAGATGAGCAGAACCAACCAAAGTTCTAGTTTCTTGGCAATTACATTGGGTCTCTATGCCTACACCGAGGGGGGTGCATCCTTGAATCCCCAGGACGACCCTCCAGCCTCCATGGCTCTCCCTCTACGGAGATGTGACAAAGCAGACTCCTGCCAGGCTTGTGGGCACCATCTGATGACCAGACTCTGAGGAGGATGAAGACAGAGAATGCTGGCCAGGAAATCTGTAAATTAGGGTCCTATTTGTGGCTTGAATGTGGGAGCCAGCACGACACCAGCCTACGACAACTTGACTTTTTAACCACTGTGTAAACCGCCTAGAAGGCTTGGGTGTTTCTTCACTCACAGCGGTTCCTAGGCAATCCCTAGCCTATCTCCTTTGCAGGCAGGCAGCTAGCTACTACATTAGGCTCGGACAAATGCTACTAATTATCAACAGATAAATGATTGGCAGGGGCGCCACTTGCCCGTGAATTTGCTCGGCTCCTTTAGACATGGCCACCCAGACGCTTCCCCGCCATGATCTCGCTTGCCCTGTCCTCGGCCACCTTGGAGGCGGGCAGATGTGTCAGCCAATTATTTATAGACAGGGGCCCAAACTTCTCTTAGCGACAGGTCGGCATCATCTCTGATGTGCCGGCCAGTCAGCACGGTACAGCACAGCACAGGGGTCAGGCCTCCAGCAGTTGCTAAGTGACTGCCGAGTCTTAGCACTGTGACATCAGCGTGAAGTCACCCCTGCCTCTCACTCCTTCTTCAGCTTGCTTGAATTTATTGCTCATCAGTGAAAACAAAGGAACTCGGGGGGGGGTCCAGAGTTAGGAGGATACATAATTTTTCAAATTCCTTGTTGGGGGACAGTTACTCGCCCCCCCACTACACCTCACTTCCTGCATTACTTGTTAGCTATAGACTGAGCCTCAAACACAGCTTCATGCTACATAAAGCCTCAAGAATGTCAGAAAATACATGTGCCCGTGGAAAACAGTTAACCTATTTTTAAAAGGAGCAAGGAGAAGTGTTTTGGCCTTGCCTACACACTGGCAGTTTGCAGAGTCATTCCTGTCCACCGGGGGAACAGCACAGAGAACTCTGAAGCGAATGGGGTTCTGTTTTCCGGATTAGGAAACTGAGCCCAGGAAGGGCAGCCCAAGAAGGCTGAGCTGGGGACAGGCTGCTTTCAGAGCTGTCTCCGTCCTGCCCAGGCCCTGCAGTACCCTGCAGTGTCTCTGGGATACCGGCTGCTCACATTCCCCCGGCAGAACAGAGATTTTTTTTTCCTCAAACTTCATTTTCTTGAAGTTGCGTTGATTTCCATCGGGTGGGGAGATGATGGAGCCCAAGGGGCTTTGATCCTGTACTCATATCCTAAACATTGTAGGGAACGGGGGACAGGGACAGGGACAGCCACGTCCTTGACTTGAGGGAAGGATATAGATGGAAGGACAGACAGGCTGCTGAGCCTCTGGTCTCCAATGGGTGCCTCCCCTTAGAATTTGTCTAGATTGGGGCTCATGGGGGTCCCGATTAAAGAGAGCTGCAGGTATTGGGTTCTAATTCTGCTGGGCTCCCCTTGAGCCCCCAATGTGGGAAAGGACATAGCTTGAACCTTGGGGTTTAGATACAGACTAAGTTAGTGTCAGGATTGGGGGGGTCTGGTCATGGGCAAGGGAATGAGGACAAGATTTACTCTGGATCTGGGGTTCTGATGACAGCAAGTCTGGTTAAGAGCCCTGGTTTAAGAGAGATCTGTGGCAGGATCTGGGGTCCTTGCATGAATGGTTTAGGCAACTCGGGCTGGTAAGCAACGGAGTTAGGAATCAAAACAGCTTTCCCCTGAGATTTAGGGTCTTATCAGTGACAGAGTTGATTCTAAATTTGGGGTTCTGATTTGAGGAGGTTTGGTTAAAGGATCTGTATTGAGTTCTGGGGTCCTCACGAGCCAGGGTTTCTTTGAACCTTGGTTTCTTCACAAGGGCACAGCTGGTTACCAGCCTTGAAATGCTCATAAACACAAGGTGTTTGTGTGGGGGTAGGAAATCAAAGAGAAGCAGGCGTGGCTTCACTTTTGGGGGTCCTTCTGTAGGCAGGATTCATTAAAGCCTTGGAACCCTTATGAAACACTTGGCTTGGACTGGGATCCTTGAGCCTGAGGGCTACCTTTCAGAGGTGGACAGAGTTGGCTTTGGATTTGGGAGGTCCAGATGTGGGCAAGGCCCATTTGAGGGTCTAGCACCCTTACGTAGACTGGGGTTTGCCTGCACAGGTGGGTGGTGGGAGCTGCGGGGAGGGGTGTCTCAGAATTGGGTACATAGGCTCAGTGTTGATACTCGTGATGTGGGCGGAGTCTGCTCTGGGACTTAGGGTGCCGGAGTGGCCAGGGGCAGCTAGAGGATTTGAGGTTCAAACACAGCAATGTGTGGACAGACTTTGGGACCCTGAGGTGGGGCAGGGTTGGTCTCAGCCTTCGGCACCCTTGTGTGGACACAGCCATGGATTCCAGGTCCTGATGGTCATACGGTCAGCCTGGGGACTGGGGGTGCATATTTGGTCAGAATTGTTTTGATGTGGGGATCCTAAGATGAGTAGGGTTGGTCTTGAGTTCCAGCATCCTCATGTAGAGGGGATGCTGTGGGTTTGGGGTTCTGAAGTAATGGTAGCTAGTTTGGAGATGTGTGATTCAGTCTTGGGTAGGTATATTCTGGATTTGGGGTACTGGAGTGGGAAGGAAGAATTTGGTTTAATTTTGACATCCTGATATGAATAACTTGGGGTTCTAAGAGAGTGATGGCTAGCTTAGTTTCAAACTTGGGGTTCAGGTTTATTCTGGGTTTGGGGTTCCAGGATAGGCAAAGCTTGTTTTGAATTTTAGCATCTCTGTATAAACACAGTTAATAAGAGTTTGGGGGTGGGCTACAGTAGTAGTTAGCTTGGGAGAGTTGGGGGTTCAGCCTTGGGTAAGTGTGTTCTGGGCTTGAGGTTGTAGAATGGGCAGGTTTTATTTTGATTTTTAGCACCCTTGAATGAATATATATATATATATATATATATATATATATATATATATATATGGTATGAGTTGGGGGGTGGTGTCTGTTAGCGGTTAGGGTGGGAAGGAGATTTGGACATTCAGCTTTGTTCTGGGTTTGGGGGTTCCACGATGGGAAGGTTTGTCCTGAGTTTTAGCCTCTCTATGTAGACGCATCTGATGGAAGCTTGGGGGTATCTGACATAGTCATGACTAGTCTGAAGATTCAGCCATGTTTGTTCTGTATTTGGGGGTCCTGGAGTGGGTAGGATTTAATGTTTGTTTTCCTTGAATGGCCATTGGGGGTGGAGGACTTGGGTTTCTGAGGCCATGATAATTAACCCAGAAACCTGGAGTTCAGTCATGCCGACTTTGCTTGGGTATTGAGGATCCTGGGACTGACTGGTTTCTTTTGAGTTTGGGCAGCTCTGTGTGGACACAGTATATGGAGTTTTAGGGTTTTGATTTATTGTTGGTTTGGAAATCTGGGGTTCAATCTTGGGTAGATGTGCTCTGGGTTTGGGGTTCTAAGACCAGCAAGGTTTGTCTCAGCTTCTGGAATGCTTACACAAACAGGCTGGCTACAGAACTTGGGGTTCACCACTTTGGGTTGGTTTTGGACCCAGGCTCTCACAGGGGAAAGGCCTGTCCATGATTGGGGGGGGTCTATTGAGGCCTAATTTTGTTTCAAATGCAGTCTTAGGTGAACAAGGTAGTCTTAGGAGGTTGGGTCTCTTCTAAAGAGAGGATCAGGGCTGCGGGGGGTTGGGGAGGAGGGTCTTGCTGTGGTTGAGGTTCTGAGTAGCTTGGACTTGCTCAACGTTGGCAGACTGCAGCCAACAGACTGAATGTTTATGAACCAGGTCCACCTTTCTATCTGGTGTCAAATGAGACACCAGTGTGTTTGGAGTTGGGGGCCCATGAGTGGCCAGTGCACCACGGGGCCCTTACAGATGGGGTTCAAGGTGGCTGGAGTTGACTTGACCACCTTGGGTCCTCTGGTAGTTGTTAGGTGTTTCTTGGGGACCCAGGGCAGGAGTGGGCAGGGGCCCTCGAGAGGACGGTAGCTCGTGGGGTACGGGAAGGGGTCGGGCAGGGGCCACCTTGATCCAGGAAGTGCAGCCGCTGTAGGTTGAAGGGGATGCCGACCATCAGGTCCAGCTCCTCTTTGAGCTCCCGCACTGTCATGTCGCTGCGGCAGTTGGCCACGCGGAACAGCTCCCCAGTCTCCTCCAGTTTCACCCGCAGTGAGAAGACGTCAGGGACCAAGTCTGGCGACGCGATGGAGGCGCGCGGGTCCGCGGATGGCCCCTTAGCCCCCGCGCGGGCCCGGCTGGAGGGGCGCGCGCCCGCCTTGGGGTCGTGACGAGGGGCGCCCCCCTGCGGCCTCCGCGGCCGCGCGCCCGCCCCCGCCACGTCCGCCCACCTCCGCATGGCCCGAGGCCCGCGTCATCCCGCACGTCATCACCGCCCCCGCCTGGGCCCCCGGGACAGGAGAGGGGCGCCCGCACTTCCGGAGTCGCTCCCCCCTCACCTTCCTCCACAGCCCTCGCCAGCCTCCTAGCGCTGTTGGGTATAGACCTCTGTTTGTTCATGGCAGGGCGCATGATCGGGGAGAAGCATCTGGAACCGTTAGGCCCACCGTTTCTAAGGTGCTCTCCAGGCTTGCCCCCATGTGCTTCCAGAACACAGCAACCCGAGCAGACCTGGGCCACAGTGGAAGTGGCATCAGATCCATGAGTCCTGACACTGCAGCATCCTTGGAGGGAGAAAGGCCTGGGACACATTTGAGGGGACAGGCTAGGTTAGGCCCTTTTCAGGCAGAGCTCACACCGGGAGTGGAGCTGGGGATGGGGCTCTTAAATGCCAGACCCCAAGCAAGGTCTTCAGGGGTTGGAGGAAGCAACAGGGAAGGGGCAGGGAGCCAGAACACCCTTGGAAGACTCTGTGGTTACCAAGAATAAAGTCAAGCTTGAAAAAAAAAATACATTTGGTATAGCAGTTAACAGAAATGTGGGCTGAGACATGGAGGTCCAGGCCATCTGCGTACCTGGGGGTAGAGGCAATGGGCTCAAGGTGACATCCTTGAGTATACAGTGAGCCAGCGACACAAAGGGAGGAGCGCTTAATCCTTTTATGTCGAGGAGTGGCTCGTTCTAAACCACAGGCAACTGTAATTTGTACAGCGCACAGGTTGGACCTTTGCAGAACTGGGTGCTGATCCCAAGACTCCACTCATGAAAGCTCTCTACCTAACACTGAGCCATGGTCTTCATAGGAGGCTGGCTTTGTCCTCTCACGTGTTCAAATTGGACCCCAGTGCTCAGATTCTATCTCAGGACACTGAATCTTTGTTATTTATTTATCCAGGCGGGGTTTCTGTGTAGCCCGGAACTAGCTCTGTAGACCTGGCTGAGCTCAGACTCAGGAGATCCACTTTTCTTTGCTGGAGTGCTGGGAATTAAAGGCGCATGCTACCCCAGCCCCGGTTTCCTGTTTGTTTTTCTTTACAGAAAATTATGCTCTGTGGAGAATCCAAGATTCCAGCTGAATAATTTTCCTTACTTTTAGAACAACAGATTTTAATACGACAAGCTCTACTTCGTAGGCAATAACAGATGTGTTTGTTACAGAAGCTTTGCACTGCATGCAGTGCGGTCCATCTGTTTGCTGTGGGCACGTAATAAACACGAAGCAGACTGTTTTGTTTTGTTTTTTTAATCTTTGCCTCTAACTTTAATAAATTAATTCTGTGCCAAAGCCGCCCAACGTTGCCTGTGCCTGCCATTTGGGTTCGTCACTCATTTCCATTCTCTCTGGCACAGCACAGAGCCTTCTCAGAGCCTTCCTTCTTTTTAAGTAACGCGGTCAGTGGTACTTGCGGACCTGTGTACCAGGAAATTCAACGTGTGACTTTGCAGGTGTTTTTTGTTTTGTTTTTTAAAGAAGCTCCTGGGCCCAGGGCTGCTCCACCACCTTTGCCAAGTTAAAATCAGAAACACAAAGCTGGGAAAGACAGAGGTACAGAACCATAATCAGATGTCTACAGAATACAGAATTGTTAGTGGATGAAGATCTGTTTAAACTGTATAGCATCTTTCTGTTCATCTGAAATCCAAAAGGAGGAAATCTAAGCTGTTTGTACTTAAGCCAATGTAAGGAGTACATAACTTAGCTCCCAAACCAACGGTCAAGAGCATGGCTTCTTTTCTACTCTTTCTTTTTTTTTCCTTTGTTCTTTCTTTTCTTTCTTGAGTCTAAAGTGTTAAGTCACTATCCATGCATCTCAGCCCTCAGCCCCCACCCCACCTCACCTGAGCCCTCATTAAAACAACCTCGGACTCAACTGCTCTCAAAGACCAACAATGTTTTCAGTCCCTGATAGGGAAGGGGTGAAGGCTGAAGGAAACATTCTGAGTGTAGCAGTGTGTAACAAAACTTCCATACCCCAGAGGAGCCCCACAGCAGAGGTAACCATTCTTTACTAGGACACAGTTCGAAGGTCATCAAGACAGCTGCGTGAGCAGCTCCCAAGCAGGACGAGCCTTCACACGACATGTTTTCCCCTGGGGAGACTAGTGTCACACATATCTTCTTCCTGTCAAGTTATTTACATGTGTACAGTATTTCAGTTGGAGATAAAATGCAATGCCATAAACCCCATTTTCTCAGGAAAGATTGGGGCAGCAAGCCCAGAGAATATGTACAAGCTTCTACTGAATTACTTTATTGGCGAGGGGAGCTGTATTTATGCTTTGTTTCCTTGGACAGGGTTTTGTTATGTAGCTCAGGCAGGCCTGGGATTCTCCACATTGACCTGGAACTCTTGTTCTCCCTGCCCCAGCCTCCCAATTATACCAGGCTCTCGGGGAGATTTTAAGTGACACAGTCTCTCCTAAAAAGCAAAGTCCACACCACAGCTGATGGTGTGGAAGCCAGAGAGTCATTGGTGCCTGGATCCAGAGCCTTTGTAACCTGGGTCAGGTTTGCTGGGGCGGGAAGCATACGGTTGCCAGGTCACCTTAAGTAAACCTCCTCTATAAGTGCCAATACAACTAGTTCTAGTTTTCCAGTACAGTGGAGTCTGTGGCATTCTGCATCTTTGGTTCTAGGGAAGCAAAAAATGAAACATCTTGGTCTGGGTCAGACTGCAGAGCCAAGAGAGTCTCTTCAACAACTTGAAGATGATGGTTCCCGGCATTTCTAAAATATGCTAAGGAGAGAAAAGTTAGAGTTACTTGTGCCACAAACTGTGTTTTAAAACATAGTCTAGTTTTGTTGTCTTCTAAGCCACATGTCAAGACACTGGATACATTTTCCATGCATAGACACATGCTGAAGCCCTTTCAATTGATAAAATGCCTTATTCTAAAAGTATTTCTGAGATTTTAATGGTGGGCTGCCAGTAGTGACACCTGCTTTAAAAGTCAGAGTAATTAAACCTTTAAAGGCACCCTGTTCTACAGTACATGAGAACTGGCATGCGGGGTCAGCAGGACAGGGAGGAGGCTAGAAATGGACAAACAAACAGGCCCATCTACGGCGGAGAAGTAAGCCAGCACAGGCACAGAGCTTGCATTCACCCTCACTCAAGCTTAAGCAGCTAGCTCAGCGGTGTCACAGTGCAGTAGCACCGAGGCAGACTTCGGCTCCATTTCATGTCGTAACTGGAACTGATAAACGAGCGTGTGTCCGTCTATGTGACAGTTTGTATCTGGTGGGATTGTGTCCATCTCTCTAGTGATCGTGTCTCTCCAGGGTGCTGTGTGTCTGCCTGCTGTAACTCCTTGGGGACCCAGCTACCACCCGCCACAGCTAGGGTTAACTTCGAGGTGGGCAAGGGCCACACACCCTTCTCCAGCAGTGTCTGCCGCAGGGCCTTGGCCAGCAGCACCCGCACGTTTGGCACAGGATCCGCCGCCAGGCTCAGGAGGCTGGGAAGCATGTGTTCCACAAACTGGTCCACAGGGACGGAGTCTTCACTCACCACAGCCTGCAGAAACGAGAGCCACAGGCTAGCATCGATGTCCTCAAGGCTCCAAGCACACAGGCTCGCACATTCTAAAGACAGCACTTCAGGGTCCATGGGTCTGAGAGGCACATGCATGCGCATGTGACCGTTTACATGCCAAGAACTGAATTTAGTTGTAACCAGTGGCTAATTCTACAGCTCCCTTCCCAGGAGCAACTGACAGGGAGAGCAAGAGCTAGAGGGGAAACATGGGCTTTGGAGCCAGGCACCCAGCTGTAGGTTCAGAACTTAGTCTGGTCACCAGCCTTGCTTTATGGTGCGACAATTCTGTTCCAATGTGGCGGTGGCACTGAAGGTCTTAGGACCAACGAGTGAGTGGGTCTTCAGCCAGGTGTACGGGTTCATGGTGGTGAGCTTCATGGCGACAATGTTCAGGGAGCTCAGAGACAGGCTCCAGGCCAGCCAGGCCTCATTCCAGACCCGCCTTGTCACCTAGTACCTTCTTCCCAGAGCTATGGTCAGATCAAAATTAGCAAGTTTCGGAGGTACGCTATCTCCTGAGCATCTTTCCTTTGCTTTGCGTTTGCTGGGTTTTCTATATCTTTAATAATAAGATTTTTTTTCTTAAAAAAGATCTTGTTGGGCCGGGCGTTGGTGGCACACGCCTTTAATCCCAGCACTCGGGAGGCAGAGGCAGGCGGATCTCTGTGAGTTCGAGACCAGCCTGGACTACCAAGTGAGTTCCAGGACAGCCTCCAAAGCCACAGAGAAACCCTGTCTCGAAAAACCAAAAAAAAAAAAAAAAAAAAAAAAAAAGATCTTGTTGGTTTTTCTTGAACAAAATGGATTGATATCATTTCTTATTTCTCACTTTTTCTACATTCCAGATAAATAATTTAAAAAACATAAGAGAAAAAATTTCATTTCTGCTTTTGCTACACAATGACGTGAAGGAATATTGATGTTTTTCTTCACAGAAGGCTGTGCTGTGGAAAAATACAGGTTATGTCCCTCTTCACCAACAGGGGGGGCTGGTGAGTCCTCTCACTGCAGTTGTTTATCAGGCAGAGGGGGAGGGTCACACAGAGCTGTGTCAAAACAGGTTGTGAATTCGGCTAGGCAAGCAGCTCCTGGAGGTGGCATACCATCCCCTTTGCCTTTGGGGTGCCAGCAGGCAGCATCAAGAAACATCAAAATGATAAAAATAACGTGGGGGTACAAAATCCTCAACAGCAGAAACCATGACTTCTCACTTCTAGCGGGACACTGCGTTGGGGTGCTTGATCACTCAGGAGTTAATGCTTCACCTAAAACAATTATCCTTAGAGGTGAACAAGCGTGCCATCGGGTCCCACCATGGTCCCCACGCAGCAGGTCTCACTGGAGAGCCAGAGGTGTCAAGGCAGTTGGCATTCCAGATAAACTCCCTCACACCCGTCTCAGAGGTGCTACTTAGAGGGCGTTGTTGACGAGACAGGGTGACACAGATTTTAAGCCTGGGGCCTGAAAAGGGGTTTCTGCACCCTAATCCTGGATGCAGTGTGCCAGGGGTGGGCTGCGTCTGATGAGAGCTGGCTGCCTCTTCACCGGTTTCAACTCCAGGATGCCCAGCACACAGTGGGTACCGACCGTGTCTGGGGTGCAGTGAGTGCCTTGGGTGACTGGCAAGACAGACACTGCCCCTCACAGCGGCTGATTCAGTAAAAGTGATTCCAGCTTCTCCCAGGACAAAGAAAGCCAGAGGCAGATTCTCTGTGTCTGTGCTAACCTGACAGATGCAGGCAAAAGCCTGCCTTCCAACGCACTTAGGGCAGTGCCGGAACCTAGAGACGAGCTCCTGGATGAAGCTGAGCCCCAGGGCACGGGCACCATGGGAGTAGAACTTGCGCAGCATGGCCGCCACCTGTGAGCAGCGTGAGAGAGTTGAGGGTGAGGTGTCAGCCACAAACAGTGATCTGCATGGCACAGGGACATTCTATGTTCTCGCCCACCTTCCCATTCAACTTACAAGCAAGAGAAAGCAACTTTCAGTTCTCACTGAGGAGAAGGTGTTTACATGGGTCATAATGTATACATGCACACAAAATTCTTCAAGGAGAATGTAAAAAAAGGGGGGATTGACCAATGTACCAAGAAGGATTCAGTTTTAAAAACACATCATCTTGTGAAATGTGTAAACTGTTACCTTTGAGGATATGGTATTTCTATGAAATTTTAATACCATCAAAAATTTTTTAAAAAATCACTTATTCAAGTAAGACTGACTACCTTGGTAGGATTACTAAACACAGAACACCTTTGTCTTTTCTGGTGGGAAGGTAAGGCTGTGGCATGGTTAAACAACCACCACAACACTATCACCAATACCATAAGCGCACACCAAAACCCTGAGCTATTATTTAAAGAGTTTCAAATAAAAAATGATTTTTGCACAGTTCCCATCATGGAAGCATACAATTAACAACAGAAGGGCATCCTGAAAATTGATAAAACAATACAGCTTCTAACTGCAAAAGTTAAAACCTGGGCTTATAGAGAAAATGACAAACAGAGCACAGAAAAAAAAAAGTGTTAAAATGGGAAGCAGAAACAATGTGCTGTTTGCAAGAATGGGCTCCGTGAAGGCCGGCTCCTTACTAGCTTGAAGGAAATCCAGCGCACTTGAGAAACTTTGTCTGCACACAACTTCAGGGCAACGTGCCTCAGATAACCGTGAACGTCGCTGGGGCCATAGAGATCCAAGATCAGAATCAGCTGCCTGCAATCACAAGCAGAGGGACCCCTACCATCAGTTACGAGGCGATTCCCCCGTTCTTTCCCTTTGGCGGCCACGCGCGGGCGCAGCGGTAGCGGCAGCGGCAGCGGTAGCGGCGAAGGCGGCGGCTGCTGAGGCGGCTGCTGCAGCGCGAGCAGCTGGCCTGCCGAAGCCGCCGGCACCGAGCGCTTTGTAAAACAGGGATTCGGACGTTCAGGGTGCGATTTTGAGGTTGCAGCGTCCGGTTGTGGTTGAAAAGCACACAAAACTCTGCCCTATATCACACAATGCAAAAGCGGCCGCGGGCCTGCACTTCCCCGGCCACGCTGAGGGCGAGCGGGAGCGGGAGCCAGGAGCCGAGCGGCGGATGGCGGCGCCCTCGCTCTTTTCCCTGAGTTCTTTCGCCTCCATTCCCCTTTGCTTGCCTTTCTTCCCTTTCAAAATCGCTCTTTCCCCGTCGTTCTTTTTTCTCATCCGCTTTCTGAAACCTAGCTCGTTTTTGCCCGCTGTTTTCAATCGGTTTGCTTTCTTCCCCGGGCTTCCTCGCTCGCCTTTCCCCGCCTAGTCTTCTGGCTCGCCCTTTCTCGCTAGGTTTTTCCTGCTCGCTCCTTCTCGCTGGATCGTTTTCCCTGCTCGCTCTTTGTCGCTAGGCATTTTTCCCCCTTGCTCTTTCTCGTTAGGTATTTTTTTTTCCTCGCTCTTTCTCGCTAGGTCTTTTGCCCGCGCTTTCTCGCTAGGTATATTTTCGCCTCGCTCTTTCTCACTAGGTATTTTTTTTCCTTCGCTCTTTCTCGCTAGGTATTTTTTCCCTCGCTCTTTCTCGCTAGGTATTTTTTCCCTCGCTCTTTCTCGCTAGGTATTTTTTCCCTCGCTCTTTCTCGCTAGGTATTTTTTCCCTCGCTCTGTCTCACTAGGTATATTTTCGCCTCGCTCTTTCTCACTAGGTATTTTTTCCCTCGCTCTTTCTCGCTAGGTATTTTTTCCCTCGCTCTTTCTCGCTAGGTATTTTTTTTTCTTGGTCTTTCTAGGTCTTTTGCCCGCGTTTTCTTGCTAGGTAGTTTGTTTTCCCTCGTTCTCTTCTCGCTATGTTTTTTTTGCCCGCGCTTTCTCGCTAGCTATATTTTCCTCTCGCTCTTTCTTGCTGGGTATTTTTCCCCTAGCCCTTTCTCGCTAGGTCTTTTTTTTTTTTTCCTTGCTCTTTCTAGGTCTTTTGCCCGCGTTTTCTTGCTAGGTAGTTTGTTTTCCCTCGTTCTTTTCTCGCTACGTCTTTTGCCCGCGCTTTCTCGCTGGGTATTTCTTTCCCTCGCTCTTTCTCGCTAGGAATTTTTCCCACGTTCTTTCTCAGTAGGTATTTTTTTTCCCTCGCTCTTTTCTGTCTCCACTTTTCCCGCTAGGTTTTTTTCACTCGCTCCTTTTCCATAGGTCTTTCTCCCTCGTTCTGTATCACTACGTTTTTCCCCCTCGCTCTTTTTTTCCCCCTCGTGGTTTTTGTTTGTCTTTTGATAGGTCATTTTTCCTTGCTCTTTCTGCCTCGCTCGCCGCAGCCCGGCTGGGCTCGGGCGGGAGAGAGTGCTGCTGCGATTTGCACGCAGGCAGAGGAAATGAAAAAGGGTGGGGAGGAAGCCGGCCGCGGCGAGCGGCTTCATATCGCTCCCGCCGTCTGCGGGGAAAATGAGCCCAATATCGCTCCCCGCGCAGTCCTTATCGCCGCCTGCCGCAGCAATAAGCGAGCGATGGGAGATAGGACCGGGCCGGGGCAGGGGCTCACTCTGCTCGAGCCGCCAGGGGGAGCAGGCCCGCCCTGCCGGGCCCGGGCCTGTTTTTCTCACTTTTTGCCCCAGTGTGCTGGTTTACACCTCAATCTCTCAAATTAAGCATAATGATTAAAGCTCACAGCAAAGGGAAAATCTTGCTGTTTGCCGCTGGCACCGGCCAGATCACATCCTGAACAGCTGCAAAAGTCTGATGGATTTATTTCTTCAGGAAGACAATTATTTGAGCATGACTAGTTGTGTCAGACGGTAAAAATGAAAACTAAAGATACAGAAATGACCTCAACAAAAGCCCAAACAAGCACCTCACAAACAAATCCCCCACACCACTAAAGGACATTCTCCTTCTCGAGAAGGGGGCGCTGAACTACACTCTTGTTCATTCCCCGTAAAGCCTAGAGCATTCCCGGTGCAGACAGCAGACAGGAGCTGAAGAGTGCTGCCTGCAGGCACAGTGCATGCAGGTGGATGCAGGCTGGCCTCAGGGCTGGCTGGGTGGGTGTTTTTACTTCTGAATAGCTGTTGCACCAGGAGGAGATCTTTTCAGGCCTCAACACTGCCCAGGATGCTTTGACTGTTCAAGTGCATGAGGCACCATGTGCCCTACAGAGAAGTAGGCACGCAGAATGTTCAAGAAGGCTTTGCAAAGCCACTCTGACTCAGAGGAGGACATTGACGGGAGGGTGATTCATCTTCTATTTGGTTTGAATAAATTGCCTTATAGAACAGCAGCACACTCCAATTCCAGAGTGACCTAGGCCGTCTTCATGAGAAAATGGATGTCTCCCAGAGAGAGACAGGGGACGTATATAACTCAGAGCTATGGAATCCCACGTATACCTTAACAGAAACATACTCTCTCTACCCAAAAGAGCACCGTGTGCTGCTGCTTCTGAAGTAGGTGACGGGGGGGAGAAGGGGTGACTTCGGGGTTCGCTGGCCCCTTGGGGACCCAGACAGAGGTGTACTCACTCTGCTAGTTCATACCGAAACCTCCAATTCCTGCTGTTGTCAGTCACCACGAACTCCTGCAGCTGGCGGAGGTGCGCTCTCCTCTTGTCCTCGTGGAGTAACTGTTAAAAACACAGCCCCATAAAGGACACATTGGCCTCAAGGTGACCCCAGCACCCCTTATTTCTCTGCTGTAAGGCTGTCACCGGCCAAAGCCTATGTGTCTCCCTCATACCCAGCCACCCAGGACTCTACGGGGCTGGATGTTAACCATGGCTGCTAGCTGACACCAAGGGATGCGCACCCTGGACAGCTGCTGCCTTTCAAACTCTGGTGGGTGGGTATACCGCCTACCCTACCCCCACCCACCCCACTCCCCAAACCCCTTGTGCTTTCCCACCCCAGGGGTGTCTTTGTGTTCAGTGGATAATGGCTCTGCTGCCTTGGGGCTGAAACCCTTCTTCAGCAATGAAAGGTAGGGCCTGAATGGGGTCACTGACAAATTAGTAACTTCTAAGCTCTTATTTTTATGCTCATCCCTCCTTTGAGAGGAAAGGAAAGGCAGGGACAGAGGTGGCTACAGCATCTTGCAGACAAGGCTTTCCTGTGTGCAGAGCTGGGGTTTCATCTCTTTCTGCAGGTGACTTCTGGGTAAGCCAGGTCACCCCTGGGGACCTTAGACTTTGCCATCCACCACCCTTCACAAGAAGCACAGCCCTACAGGGGCCGAGCAGCAGCAGATGCATGGATGTTCATCTTTAGATTCTGGGTGCATTTCAACTGCAGGCTCCGAAGATTGGGGCTGTCTTTTACTGCCACCAAGCCAGTGCAGGCTCGGCCCCAGCTTGTGGGAAGGCTTTCGTGATTTCAGCTCTCCTACCTTTAGGAAGTCATACAGGTGTTTAAGGACTCCTACACGCACTTCATCCAAATCCTTTAAAAACCCATTGAAGACGGGGACCAGGTCAGCTGCCGTCAACTGATCCCCGAGAATCACTGCCAGCTCATGAATGGAAAAGGCGAGGGTCTGCCGGACCTTCCACTAGGGGTGACAGCAGACACACGAATCACCACAAGCAAGTGTAATTCAATGTTTCTAGCATTTCCCTGGAGAACGGTAAACAAGCCGGCTCACAGCCACATGAAAGTCAGGTCGACAAGCTATGCGGCAGCCCCCAGGGCCTCCTGCCTGGATGCTGATCTCTTTCTGTCTGTGCCTCTGAACAAGACCCTGTACCTGACCATCAGAAGCCAGGGTCTCGTATGTATCCTTCAAGCAGTGCCAGTTCTGCCGGCCCAGGGTCAGGGCCACCCCGGGGAGGCTGTAGGCACAGTGTTTGGCGATGTCAGTGTCCACAGTCTGGGCTCTAGCTGGGTCAGTCATCGACACGAACTGGTCAAGCAGAGGCTGAGGGATTATATCCTGGGAAACAAGAGAAAGGAAATCATCACACTGGCAAGGAGTGCAGGCTTTTGCAGCCTGGGCTGAGAACAGAAGCAGAAGCCAGGCAAGAATAAGGAGAGGGGAACCAGTGTCTCTAGTCAGCTGCCTCAAAGTAGGTGCCTAGGCTACAGAGAAGAGCCTGGAGAGCAGGGTGCATGGCCCAGCTGCCCAGTGTGGACACCGTGCTCTACAGCAGCCCAGGGAGCTGGGCCCAAGGCTACCCTTGGGATTACAGCTTCATCTTTCCAACTGAAGGGAGGCCTCCCTCGGTACAAACACATCACCTGCTTATGCCTGCCTCTGGAAGAGCAATGTGTGCCGGTGACTTAAAATATTTAAGGGGCTTTGTATGGCACAAGGGGCCAATCCATAAGACAGAGACATGTAAGCACGGCCCAACCAAAGAAGCTTGCAAGGTTTTCTTTTTTTTTTTTTTCCAAAACAAACAAAGTCATTGTCCTAAAACGTTAGTGTGAGGTCATTTCCCTTTTGTTGAGCTGTATCAATAGACTTTGAAGACTACTTCATAGTTATTTTTAGAGAGGAAATATTACCAATGTAATGAACTAGACAAAGTTAATACTGACAGAAGGAAAACATTTGGTTTAGGCTGCTGCTCCAACACTGAGCTTTAAGGAAGATGAGAGGCTTGTTTTATTTTTGTTCTTTCCTTTTGTTTCAAGAACAAACCAACCTGGACTTTAGCCTTATTCTCCTCATGCACGGTAGGTTCCTGCCCCTGCTCGGTCCTCAGGTGCCCACTGGCTCTATTTTGAGGCTCAGGTTGATCCTGTAGAGTTGATGGAACATGTCACCAACTGAAACCAAAAGGAGAGCCGTGTCTTCATGCACCCTCCCTTCATGCTGGCGAGGACAAGTACAGCTCCTGAGGTGCACGTGCCTCTCCTGACATCGGATCACACTCTTAGCACAGCTGCGGGGTCTGCTGCGGTTCAGTTGCCACCAGGGCTCTGTAGAAGGGGCCTCACATACCAACTTCAAGACTGCCGCACAGAAGGCCATGCTTACTGTCAAAGCTGGTGAGGCCCAACAGCGTGGGCTGGCCCCCTCCGCTCCTTTAAGGCCTGCCTCTCCTTTGTGTGGACAACCAGCAGCCTTCAATACAGCTACAGGAGGAGGGGTAGGGGTGGGTTTCCATAAAGGGCAGAGCAGGCACCCCCAGTCCTGGCTTGGAAGCAGACTACAGTGCAGGTGGCAGCATGGCAGCGAGGGAGCGGTGACCTAGAGGGAGAGGAGTCGGCCAGCAGGGGACTATTTACTCAGTACACTGCTGCCACGTGTGCAAACACGCCTCATGTTTGCTGATGAACCATTACATTAGGTTAACAATTAAAATGAGCAAGAACGTCCAATGGTGACATATCAGTCTCTGATCATTGATTAACATTAACTGAGATGGACCTGACCTTCTCCTTCAACCATAACACGGTTTTCCAACTTGCACTTGAAATGTCATACTGTCTACTGTGTTAATGGATTCTGACAAATCAGTTCAATATATGATCCAGGAGTCAATTAATACCCCAATATATGCCGCGTTTGCTCTGAGCATGCTACCAGGACCTTAGCGCCTAATGTTTACAGAGAAACATGCTGTCTATCTGAACAGGAAACATGACAGTAACATTTTGGTAGGTCACTCAAGGTCTCTTTTGGGCATGCTGTCTCCCATTCTCCACGTGAATCAGCGCGCGCTGACATAACATGGCTGGAATCAAATCAGCACTTTAGAAAGGAACCTGCCCAAAGACTGGGTGAAGTCAGTGCACAGGCAGCATTGGCTTCAGGAGCACTGTGAGCTCACTCCTCCAAAACAGCCCCCAAGCAGGGTGGCATGCTAGATGGTAAGGGGCACCGTAACTCACCGATGAGCGCCTGTCTAGAGAACCCTAGCTCTTCAGGAGAGTCATTGTTTCCAACGACTCTGCCATCTGCACCCCCGCCTCCCCCAGCTGTGGTCAAGGAGAGACATAGGGAGAGCCAAGTCAAGGGGACTTCTGGGATGGTGTTTCCTTGCACGGGCTCCTTCTGTTGAGCACCCCACGCTGACACGGAGAAGGCATAGAGGTGTGGACTACTCTGCACACCTCTCCTGAACACTGTGGGGCAGGGGTGCTCACCCTTCCCAGAGGTCTTGGTGTCTTTCTGTTTGTCTGATTTGCAACTGAGGCCCCTGGCTGACCTCATCTGACCCCAGGGTCAAACTGAGATCCACCAGCTTTTCACACACACCTCAGAAGACCCAGCTAGAGTGGCTTGCTTACCCCCCCCCCCGCTGCGCCTCTCTGAGAAAGAAGCCCCAGTACTACCATACCCCACCAGGGACAACCCACTAGACCTTTCTCCTCTATGTCCAGGGTTTCTACAGGCAGGTAACAAAGTAACAAGACATCTTTCTTGGCATTTTCTAGAAACAAGACATCATTTCTTACTAACTCAACAAGTCTGAAACACTGAGATTTACATTGTGCCAGGAGCTTCCTCTGCATGGGCTTGGAGTGGGGGCGATGGGGTCATCAGCCATGACCACAGCGGAGTGTGCGCTGGGTCCTGAGGACCATGAACTTGCAGAGTCTGCTCATGCAGGTTCACACAACTGAAAAGGCGCCAGCTTCCTCAAGACATGGGTGATGAGGGGGACCCCAGCTTAAATTGGTCCAAGTACAAGTTAGGGAGGAGCTGGGAAGGCACAGATCAAGAGGGTTAGGAAGCTCCCACAGACTCGGGCAAGCAGAAGTCCAGGTCCTGGTTTTACTTGGGACCCTGGTCACACAAGAAGCCAACTCCAGACTGCAGGATGGAAAGTAGGTGACACTGGCCTTTCCAAGTCACCCTCTAGAAAGGACCATCACCAAGCAGGTGGGTATTGAAGGGTGTCTGTGAACCAAGGGGCCAGCCATACTCATCACTCTCTGCAGCCTTTGCCAAGTTAGAATTAACCCTCTTCTGTTATTAAAGATGTAAGTGACTGCCAGCAATGACCCAGGACATTTACACCGTTAATCCCCCAAGAGCACTGCCTGTCATCTCCCCTCTGGGGGCAGGGGGGGGTTGTTTCTGGTGCCCACCCTGTTCCCAAGGAAGGGATTCAGGGTGATCAGTCACCTGATTGATTGGTTGTCTAGTTATCCAAAACATGACCTTAAGAATGAAATGAAATTTGCCATTTATCTTCTCTGCAGGGATGTATTAATAACAGCAAGCGTGGCTTTGTGATTTCTGTCACATCCTCGGTGGCTGAGGGACAGGGCAAGTACTTACTGTGCTCTGTAATATCCTGGCCACGGAGAGCTCATTCTGAGATGATGAAGCCGACAGGAGGATGTGATTGTCAGAGACAGGGCTGGGATCTGAAGCGGACTCTTCGTTTAGACCTTCTGGCTGCTTGCTCTCGGGTTCACTCGTGGAGCTGAGCTGTGTTGCTCTCAGTGCAGCAGATAATACCTGAACCTGAGCTATAGGCAGAGAGATACCCAGAATTTTAATAACTTTATGTGCTGGGTATGTGGTTCAGTCGGTAGAGTGTTTACCTAGCATTCACAAAACCCTGTTTTCTGTGCCCTGTACCCCACTAGGCTTGGTGTGACAGTGCATACCTTAATCCCAACACCTGGGAGATAGCAGCAAAAAGGCCAGGAGTCCAAAGTCACCCTCTGCTGCAAAGCAAGGACCAGACTAGCATGGGCTATGTGAGATCCTGCCTCAAAATAGTTTGTAAGAAGATTTTGATAGTTTAGTGTGGATCCTAGGCTCACCCCCTCCAGCAGACTTCAAGGGTCATGGCTCTCCCCCAGCCCTCGTTACTGGGGGTGGGGAATGAGCTTTTCCATGCCAGTCCTGTGCCTGCAGCAGCCAGAAGGGCAATGCTTGTTTGTCCCTTGAGCATTCACTGGGTCCCTTTATTCACAGACTCAGGGACAAAGACTAACCATGGGGCAGCCTAAACCTTCACCTCTCCTTTTCTGAAGCATCACAAATCTTTGCCCAGCAACAGCAGCAAGAGTTGTTTCTCCAGTTTCTGTGACTCAGGACAAACACAAGTCTAGCACTGTTGATTGGCTGAGGGCTCGCTGCTGTGTGCATGACAATGGGGATGGATTAGGAGACTAGCTCCCAGACCCCATGCTTGGCGGGGAACATTAGTCATGACAAGAAAAACACTTCAAAAGACTTGTACTTTCCCAGGTTGCTTAAGACAGAAACCTTAGGGCTTAGTGAGGGCCTAAGTTAATGGGTTCTAAAAGGAGGTTCACTCTGAGCTGTCTGTGGCCAGAGAGGGCACATAATGTGGGAAATAATGTCACTGTCCCTGGAGCTAATAAACCTTCCTTCACCACAGATGTGCCCAAGCACTGTCCCCTGTCTTGTCAGGGGTCTCTCCAGGCTGTGCACACACTGTCTGGAAACTCTCCTCATACAGGTCCCGTCTGGAGATACCAGACTGGACCAGACAAACCAAGTGGGGACAGTTTGATTACACCGACACACATTGCACAGAGGGGCCGGAGGAGGAGGCAGTCCTGTGCCGCCATCACCTTGAATGTCTGGGTCCTGCAGCAGGGGTCCCTGCAGACCCTTCAGGACTTTCTGGATCTCGTTCCTGGCCACACAGCTGTCACACGCAGCCTCGGGTCCACTGTGGCTGTCTTCCAGTGGTCCAGGCCCACTCAGAAGGACCTCCACATCCTTGCTTATGTCAGGCAGAGGAGTTCGCCAATACAGGAAAGTGCTGAACATGGCCTCAGAAGTCCCTGGACCTGCTTCAAGGTGACAGTCCCTGGGAGCTCTGGGAAAGGGCTGTTGCCTGCAGACATCACAGTCATTTCCGCTCTGGCTGAGGAAGGGCTCCCTGACTGGTTTTTCTGCCATGTCTGAGAAAGAACTGTTGACATGCAGATGACTGGTCTCGCCGAGGTGCATGCTGGAAGCAGATCTGGCCCCATGGGCGCGGGTGTCTTAGAACTAGAGTAATGGGAGAGATGCAAGCTCTCACCACCATGGAACAGATGGGAAGGAGTTGGAGGTAAAGCCTACATCCTCCTAAGCCCAGCTCTGTCCTGACTGCACCCCTGCCACACTGTATCAGAAACAGCAGCACCACCCCAGCTCAATGCCCCTAGGAAGTTCAGCTAGCCTCCACCACCCGCTTATCAGTACCCCAGCAGGAGGCAGGCTTTGGAACAAAGGCTCAGGAACCAGGAAGCACTGACTATGTGCTAGCCTGGTGGGAAGCCTCGGTGAGGAAGATCTGGTCCTGGGGATGGCACTGCAGCCGCCAGTGAGCAGTGACGAGGAGGAGGCGCTGTGTTAAAAGGTACCAGCTGCCCACACAGCCCTACCTACCTCACATTCCTACATAGCACTCACGGCAAAGGGATGCTTCGAAACTACCTCAGATTGGTCAGTACATACCCACCATCCTCAGAGGGCAAGCATGACAAGCCCAAGATCAGCCACCACACTAGAAAGACAGCATGCAGGGATGGGGCCTTTGTATATACAGAAGGTCCCGTGTCACAAACGTACATCTGGGAGACTTCACCTTTTTCCCTGTGTAAATTCTCCAAAGAACTTCATTAATCAAGGAGAAAGAGACAATTTTCTTTACAGGTTATTTAATCACCACCCTCAATGAATATTTTATCTAAACTGAGGAGACATGGTAGCTTCATTATTTATAACCCGGCAGTCATGTTTCGAAATCGTTATTGCAATTACTTTTTGCTTCTTTACATAATTAAAGCTCTAATATTCCATCTTGCCCAGAAGGTCACTATTACTAAACCTGGAGATGATATAATTGCTAGAATTCTAGGTGGATGCTTGAGGTGAAAGGGGGGTGGGCTGTGCCAAGCATCCCGGGTGAAGCTTACCCGGCCGGGGAAGTGGCACCGCAGCTGCTGGGCCTGGGTGGTCCAGAGGCAAAGCCGGACTCCACCTCTTGGCTCGGAGGCCTGATGCTCAGGGTGCCATCCTCCCGGATGCACAGGCCAGCCCGGGATGGGTTTGCGAACGTGGAGATAAAGGGGCCGAGTGACTGGAAGGCAGCCTGGCGCACCTGGAACCAGAGCACACTGTGCAGACCTGCAGCCGGGATCAGATCTGACACCAGGCAAGCGCAGAGACCGCTGACCTCGGGTTTGCTACTTCCCAACCATCTCCTAAAGGCCAAGTAAGCCACTCTCAGCAGAAAATGGGTACATTTAGCCCACAATGTAATCTTCCTGTTTCTAGACTGTGAACTCCACGTGGCACCTGACTTCATGAAGTCTGCAGGAAGACCTCACGCACAGAGTCTGACCTCTGACCGCCTGTGGCACTGTAGGAAGACCTCAAGGACAGTGTCTGACCACCCACAACACTTTAGAGTGGTCAACAGTGTGCCTCTGTCTTAGTGTTTACCCCAAAGGCTTTGAGATTTTAGTTGCCCTAATTTCGATCTCACAACATGTAGCTCTGATTACATCCACCAGTGACTGAAAGGGCAAACAACAACAACAAAACAAAAACAAAAATACATACGAGCTAGAAGCCAAGGTGGAAGCTGAGGACAGCCGGACAGCTGGAGAGATTGACAGCATGGAGGCTGCCAGTTGTGTGAGCACTCACCCATCGGCAGGGATCACTGATGAGTCTGATGAAGAGAGGAGAGAGCTGAGCCCTGCGGACCTCAGGGGAGGTGTTGTAGGACACGGCCATGAAGCACTCTGCACACGCTCTCCGCATCCCCCACATGTTATCCGAGCAGAGCTCAAAAAACGTCGGTATCTACCACAATAAACACACAGAGCTGTAGCTACTCAAACTGGAGTGTCTGTGGACATTCAGCACCTGACCCGATAGCCTACAGGGGTGGAGCCACAGGGACACAACAAAACAGTAATAAACAAATTAATAGCAAAACACAGTCTCCAAAGGTATCATAGAAAAGAAAGAGTAAGTAGGAAAAGAGCACAGGTCTCTCACCATCTAACTTTAACAAGTGATTTGGGTAAATTTAAGAAGATAATGGAGAAAACAACAAAGAGAAGGGTCAATACTCCCCCCTGAACAAAACTGGAGACAGCTCAAAAGTCAGAAACTCAGTGAATGGCAGGCTCGCCGAGCCACAAGCACTGGCTTTGACCGGGTATTGTCAGTCTGCGGTGGTTGACTGGGAGTGGACATGGGCTCACCCCCATAATCCCAGCACTCAGAAGGCGGAGGTGGAAGGATTGCAAAGTCGAGGCTATTCTGGGCTACACAGAATGTTAGAATATAAGTCATTCCTGTCTACGGACATGCAAACTATGTCCAGAGGAAGGCAGATGACTGTGTGTAGTCCTCTGTAAGTCACATGGGTTCGTGCTTAGACTGTGAATGTGTCTGTGGGGCTCTCCACTGAGCTTGGCTGTTATATTTTTCTGGTTTGCTTTATTAGCAAATGAGTTAAATATAATTTTTTACATATTTATGTCTACATGAACATGGCCATTATACCTTTAAAATTTTATCTTTTAAAGGGCTTTGATTTTAATACCCTAATGTAAAACACTTAGCTTACAACGTTACACAGATGGGAGTAAGACTGCCAGAGGGATGAGCCACCTACAGGAAGACACTACTCTGCTGGCCACTGCAGCCCTCTGCAGAGACTTCAACGAGGCGCTAATGCTCTGGTGTCTTCAGAGCAGAAGCCTAGGGTAAACTGTCTTGGGTTACAATGGTGTTGATGTGGCTTACACTTTAAATAAAACCAAACGTGCTTCTGAACTGAAATTGAAAAATCAATTTAGAAATAATCCTCTCAGAGGTTATGTTTCAACCACACAGCTAGAGCATTAAACGGAGAGAAGGCGCAGCGAGTGCCCAGCAGCTACCCAGGCACAGGTGAACACAGTGGAGTTTGAGAATCTAGGCTACAGCCATCTAGGAAAGATGGGAAGAGTAGGGTGCTTAGGGAGAGGCCACATCAGTCAACGGGACTTTGAAAACCACAGATGTGTGGCCAGAGCTGAACCCGGCGGGACCAGCACAGGGGGCAGATGTAGGGCGACTGCAGGTATAGAAGAAGAGATACTTGTGAAGGGGCCTGAATGGCGACAAGGCTCTGGATTTTAACAGGCTCAAGGACAGGGGACAGTTGCAGAGGGGTGGCGGGGAGGCAGCGGGGAGAGCGGGACAAAAGAGACACAGGGGAAAGTGGGTGGAATGGAAACAGCACGGAGGACACGGGCACAGCACGAGTCTGGGTCTCGTGCCCACCCACTTGCCAACCAGACTTGCAAACTACACCAAGAAGTGTGGTAGCAATTATGATTGGCAAATTTTCACATACCAAAAATTTCTCAGTGGCTTCTTGTCCAACAGCATGACAAATATCGCCAAAATGCATAGTGCATACCTGTGAAAGGCAAAGGCATTCGCATCGTTTCTTTGTCTTTCTTTTTGTCTTAACAGATTGTAAATCCTAACAAGCAGGAACCCTGAGAGCAATTATCCTTCCAGTCAGACAGCTAACAAGCCTGTACCAGGCCCATCGCCCACACAGCACCACGCTAGGTGCCTGCTGCACTGAAAACAGGGATTTACAGGAGGGTGCCCACTTCTTTGGCTTCCCGGCTCCTAATTGATCTTGATGCATAATGCATTTGGTAGTCAGAAGGTAGAGCCTGTCCGCTTCCCCACACAGAGAACAAGACCCCGAGTCATGACCACTCGTGTCACAAGGTACAGGCTGGGGCATCAATGCCTCTAAGCAGGTGCAGGTGCGCGACTGTGCTCTGGGGCAGCAAGGACGCCATTCTGCAGATTGTCTGTATAAACAAGAAAAGCAGGGTCCCTGTATGTGGGACACAGAGACATGCCTTCAAAACAGTTCTCAATAGCCACAAAGAAAACTCAGAACACCTTTCGAGCTCTGTCAAGTCAGATGATCAACAGAGGCCAGCTAAGTCCCAAATTTTACCCAGATGTGAGCTCTCCTGCAGCCCCATTTAGTGTCTGCCAAGCCCTACCATGCATCCAGGCTGATCTTCACTGAGTTGTTCACCTCTAGGAGGGTCACCAGCATAGAGACATGCCAAGTGGTATCAATGCCAATGACCTGCCTTGAGGTGAGGCTCAGCCACAGGGCACACAGGCAACACTGCTTCACAAGGAGGGGGGCAGGCTTCACACTCTCCATCCATCCCTGAACAGAAAAGTGGGATCCCAAGCAAACACTACAAGGTTAGTGGTTTGAGAATCTAGGCTACAGCCGTCTAGGAAAGATGGGAAGAGTAGGGTGCTTAGGGAGAGGCGAGGAGGAAGGCAAAGAAAGGAGAGCCCACTGCCTCGATTCTACCCCAGCTGCCTCGCTGGACAGCCTCTCGTACGTACGTACGTGTGTTAAAGCAGCCGTTATGAATATGCTAGAGAATTACGAAGAAAAGATAGATACAATGAACGAGCAGATCAGGCCCTCATCAAAGACATAGAAACCACAGAAGAGAACCACATGGTTCCAGAGGAGTATGTGAGGGAAGCTGTCAACTCTGGATGTGCCTGTGAGGGCATGTCCCGGAAGCAGCTCCTGGCCCGAGTGCTTTAACCCACTAGCAGGGGTGGTGGGGCCTGTCGGGGTGAAGATCGAGAGCATCTAGGAGCTGGATCTGGCCTGGTCTCTCCTGTTCCTGCTCCTCTGCTCTGCTCCCTGTTCTCCCTGACGTCAGCCAATCTGCCCCATGCCCCCCCAGTGTGACAGATGATAACCTCTGAAGTTGCGAAAATAATCAAGCAAGTACATATTTCCTCCGTGTGAGTCGCTTCTATGGACCACTGTCACAGCGGTGACTCCTCAGCCTCACATGAGCTTCGCTGGATGGACTGCCTGCAGAAGACAGCTGTGAGCGGATAATAAACTGAGAGCCAGTACCTGAAAGCAGTGAGGGGCAACCAGAAAGCCCAGGCTGCATGTCTAGCTGCCCTTAAAAGTTGAAGCCTGGCTGGGCGTTGGTGGCGCACGCCTTTAATCCCAGCACTCAGGAGGCAGAAGCAGGCGGATCTCTGTGAGTTCGAGGCCAGCCTGGTCTACAGAGCGAGTTCCAGGACAGCCTCCAAAGCCACAGAGAAACCCTGTCTCAAAAAACCAAAAAAAAAAAAAAGTTGAAGCCTGCCAGGAGCACTGCCACAGGTCTTCAATTTTGCACTCAAGAGTGGTGGCTCACACCTTTAATCCCAGCACTCGGGAGGCAGAGTTCAAGACCAGCCTGGTCTACAAGAGCTAGGTCCAGGACAGCCTCCAAAGCCACAGAGAAACCTTGTCTCGAAAAACAAAAACAACACAAAAAACAACAACAAAAACAAAACAAAAAAGTCTGAAACGGGAGGAATCTGAGGTACGGGGAGTTCAAGGCCAGCTGGGCCCACACAGTGACATTACCTCAAAAAACTAGAAAGGGGTTGCACTGCAAAGGTGTGTGAAAAGGGACAAAACTCCAAACTTCCCAAAGCCTGTAAAATCTAGGTTGTTCAACACAAACACTGTGTTTAAGACAAACATTGTTAGGACCCATAGAGAAAAGAGAAGAAAAAAAAAAAAAAAAGCTTGGGAAAGAGACTGTATCTACAAACGCTTAGGAATGAAAGATGACTTCAGAGAGGAACAGGAGACCCAATGGCAACAAAATGGCTTTAATACTACACAGAAGGAACAAAGCTGTAGACACACAATTCTATACCCAGCAAAACTAGCATAAAGCTGGAAGAAAGTAGATTCTTTAACACCAGAACTGCACGGATGGAGCCTTGAAGGAAGTTCTTCACATAGAAGAGAAATGACAGGAAGAACAGTCACCAAAAATGGCAAAATTGAACATATAAAATGATATTATCTTTCTCTCAGTAATTTCTTCCAAAGACAGAACTTTTTAAAAAATAAAACTACATTTTCTGGTTCGTAGTGTGACATGAAAACAGCAGGACAGAGAGTGAGAGAACGGGTGACAGAGACTACACTGAAAAAGAAATGAAAGTGTAATCCTAAAAAGTACTCAGTCACTCTGACACACAAAGAAAGAGTTAACAGAGGAAGAAAAATTGGTGAGAAAATGGAAAGCAAGTAACAAACGGGTAGAATTGACCCAAATACGTCAACAACATCAAACGGAATGGGTCAAATGTGCCAATTAAAAGGCATAAGCTATGAGACTGGACACAAGAGACCTGTGGCAATATATTATTTATAATTTAATGAAGCCACTGGAGATCAAAATGCAAAGCTAGCCACAGCCACAGAGCCAGGGCAGTGGTGGAGCACAACCTTTAATCCTAGGACTCGGGAGACAGAGGCAGATGGATCTCTGTGAGTTCAAGGCCACCCTGAGCTACACAAAATTGATCCTGTCTAAAAGAGAAACAGAGCTCACATAAAGGTGATCACTGCACTGGGGAATCCCACGCCTTTAATCTCAGCACTAGGGAGGTGGAGACAGGAGTGATATGGTTGGGTGGAGAGAAGTGTGAGGAGGAGGAGACAGGAACTCAGAGGATTGCAGTCTGAGGCTTGGTGGAGAACAGTAAAGTCTGCATATTGCCTCTGAGGATTCATGAAGAGAATATTGCCTCTGAGGCATTGCACTCTGAGGATTTGTGAAGCCAGGACCACCCCTTTCAGCCTGAGGTAGAGGTAAGAGCTAGTGGCTGGCTGCTCTGCTTCTCTGATGTTCAGCTTGAACCCCAATATCTGTCTCTGGGTTTTTTTTATTATTCGTGTTACAGAGACCCAATGAAAGGAGAAACTTTCAAACATAAATAATTCTGCTTGATGATAAAAGTTAGAAAATCAGAAGGGCATACACATAAAACCTGCTTCTTTAAAAACAGCAGGAAAGACAGGCTGAAAACCACCTCTTCCTTTTTACAAACCAGGTAAGCTGAACTCTAGGAAGCAGAAGGGAGGGGGAAAGTAGAAAGTCACAGGAAAATAAGCTGGAGAGATGGCTGCTCTTTCAGAGAACCTAGGTTCAATTCCCAGCACCCATATGGAAGCTCACAACTGTCTGTAACTGTCTAGTTCCAGGGGATCTGACACCTTCACACCAATGTATATAAAATAAGTTAAAAAGAAAACTGTGCTGAAATGCTACAAGAATTGACAGTCATGATGAAAGGAAACCTAAGAGATCTGTCACACAGTGAAAGGGTTAGCAAACCCTGCCGGCAACTGTCCTAACCAATCTCACAGTTCAGATGAAGACGAGTTCTCTGAAACACAGGAAAACTAACAAAACTGAAGTCCTCATCTCCATCCAATTTCTTATCAAAACCATGTCATGTCACAGAGAAAGCTCTAGAGCCAAAGGCTTGACTGGTGAATTTTAACAAGAATTTAAGCGAGAGAAGGACCCTGATCTTAAATAAAACTCCTTAGAAGGGCACTTCGCAGCAGGACTCCAACTAGACACAAGGCCAGTGGGTAAGGCCAAGAAGGAGGCTGCTGCATACTCCCCTTACTTCTGAGAGGACACAGCAGCTGAGACTGGGCAGGCACCATCCCTGACTACATCAAAATTCGTATCACAGTGTTTGGGTCCTGAGTTTCTTGTCATGACATACAAGAACATGTTATGTCTATGACATTCCTGTCATGACATACAAGAACATGTTATGTCTATGACATTCCTGTCAGAGAAACAGAGGCTAACACCAAAATGGAGGAAACACTAGGCAATGCCAAGACAGAAGACATTCTACAAAAGACCTGGCCTAGGCTATGTCAAGACCTCCCAAGTTACAAAATCCAGGAGACCAGAGACAGGACAACTCGGGGCCAAGAGAGACTGACAAGGACATGCGGTGTGAAGGTGGGTGACAGCACTCATTTAAACGTTCTGACATCCACCCTTGTGCTATGAAACACATTAAAGTCTTTCAGTGTAATGACCACGTATCCAATTCCTTCTCAAATGGCTGTGCATGTGTGTATACATACATAGATGCTTTACCCAATACATGTTCACACATGTGCATATGTGTATACAAACAGAAAAGAAACAAATGTGTGTGTATACATACACAGATGCTTTACCCAATACATGTTCACACATGTGCATATGTGTATACAAACAGAAAAGAAACAAATGTGTGTATACATACATAGATGCTTCATACAATACATGTTCACACATGTGCATATGTGTATACAAACAGAAGACACAAATGAAAATGACAAACTACTAGAGAAGTGGGAACAAGGGTACAGAGGAGCTCATGTTTGTATTTTTATAAGGGAGGGAGGGAGGGAAGGGGGGAGAGAGGGGGAGGGAGGGAGGGGGAGGGAGGGGGGGAGAGAGGACATTCTATCTCTAAGCTCTGTCTCTCAGGGACACAGCACTGCCATAGTACAGTAAAGAATTCCGGGTGGGTAATATAGCTGTCATTCTGTTGAGAATTTGTACACAGACAGGAGAAGGGGGAGGGGGAAGAAAGAAACACAAAGAAACCTAATTGGGGTGAGGGAAGGGTAATCCAAGCCCAGAACACAAATCAGGAAAAGGCCTGTGTCTTCAGACTCTGAGGACACCTGCTTCTGATGCAACCCTTAGCAGAGTGTTCAGTGACAGCCACAATAAATGAGGATGTGAGACCTCTGTATCCAGGGCAACGGGCAACTAAAGAGCTCCCTGGATCTCTTTCCACTCCTCCTTGCCCACCACACCCACATGACCTTATTACTACACCATATAAGACAAATCCAGAGTCATTAAAAGGCAGCACACAGTGACGAGAAATGACATTCCGGCAGCCCCGGGCAGCACTTGTGTGGAATGACGATCTTCACTGAGTTGCTTGGAACCAACTATTCTTTAGAGCCCACCACAGCATTCTTCTTAAATAAATGCACAAATAAAAATGAGCTCAAAATCAGGGTGACGACAAAAAACGAGGAAGCCTCACCGTGAGAACGTGTTGGGAGAAAAACAGGGTTCTGACAATTAGTTACCATCGTAGAATGCTAACGGCCTCCCTGCAAGCAAGAGGAGTTATAATTGGTCTCCAGTGGCCTGTTTATCCTGTCGAGATATAATTACAAGATACAGCGCTCACAGTTTTTACCAATCCATTCATCCAACAGCTAACATTTATTCAGTACTGACTCTAAGCTTGGCCTTGTGTTGGGTGCTGATGGCTTGAGGCCACAGTGACCCCAGGTCGGAGCTCACTGTTTCAAGGGACAGGTGAATGGGGCTTCATAACTCAACTGCCGTAAAAGGAGACGGACACACAGTAAGTAGTCTGTGGCTACAGAGGGGAAGGTGTCACTAACAGTGACTAAGGTGTCTAGAAAGATGTCAGCAAAGGAACGCGTGTACACATGTGAAGGACCGAGAGCTGAGCCTTGTCCTCACAGGAAGAAGGCTGCACTGTCACAGTGGGCTGGGTAAGGGTCCCAATCTCTGAAAATCACAATTGACTGGCGGGGACTCCCAGTGCCAGTGGAAGCGGAGTAAGGGACAGATGTGTGTGTTGGCCACGTGACAGGTCATTTCCTGCAGAACAACGTCCGTCTGAGTTGGCATGTGCTTCTGTACATGGAGATGTCACAACGTTCACACACGAGGCTGAAAAGGGAGTCCGGGCGCAGAGGACACTTCCACCATCGCCATCACCCTGAAGGAAATGGCTTTCTAAATGTTTTCTCAACAAACGCACACTAGTACCACAGATTCTGGGGTGTTTCCTACTGAACTAGACAACGCTTTCCTTGGAGAGTTCCACAACACATGTGGCCCTTTTCTTCCTCAGACAAAAGTACCTACATGTTACATACATTGTCATTTCCCCATGGAAAAGAAGCCAGCCAGCCCCACAGCTCTGGGTCTCCAGAGCCCCCTAACTTCTAGACTCCAGGGAAAGGGTGGGGTCAAAGAACAGCATCTGCTCCTGTGGGGCCCATGGGAAGGCAAGAAAGCCCTCCAAACACACACAGGAGGACAGAGCTGGGTGACTGGTCTGGGCGTACACAGTAGGACTTCAAGTCACAAAACAGAAACCGATTTCTTCTGAAAATGGCCTGTGGGGATTGTTTCTAGAAGGCTTGTTATATTTTCCAAGTAGATCTACCAAGAAGATAAAAGGGGGGGCACAGAGTGGGTGGACACCACCGACGAGAATGGAGTGTTTGGAAATAAAACAAAATAAAAATCCTGTAGAAATGCCTTCAGCATTATTCTCCATGGCATTATCAGTCTTTAGGGATAAGATACTCGGCTGCCAGTTGTAACCTTGGAAACTCGCTGGACCAACTTCCAAATGAAAAAGAAGATCTACTTGGCAAAGTTCACTGCTCAACCGCCAAACACCCCAGCTAAATGCTATTATCCAGGTTCATTTTGCAAAGTAAATTAAATTTCTTGTAGAGAAACTTGAAATTTATAAAAGAACCCTGGAGAATTTGAATTTTAATAATCAATTATTCCTCAGACTGATTCATCTTATAAACATATGGAATATGCAAAAAATTAAATTAGTTTAAAAATCCAGACCTTTAACGCATAGTTAAAAAAAACTTTTACATAAATGAAGAGTAATTGCCAAATGTTCTGATGCTGCAATATAATTTTTTAGCTACATGGCGTATAATGCTTTTGCACTTTTGGGGGGGAAAATTCCTTCCTCTAACGTCATTCCTTTCTGAACAAGAAAACAACTATCCGCTCACCCAGCATTCATCATCCAAGCTTAGGATTTTAAAACCCTTTATGCAAAAATATTTCCTAAAAGGCCAGACCAAACCTGGAGCTCTGAACTGTAGTTCACAAAGAGGGTCAAGCTCACAGCCCCGTCTGCACAGGTCAACACAGGAGCAGCTGCTGAAGGAAATGAGATGGCCCATGATGGTCGCTGAGCACACATAGGGAGCAGGGTCGGGCTGTGGCACTGGGCAAGCCCAGTGGAACCCAGTGCTGCTCCCCGTTGAGGAAGGAGCAAGGAGGGAGCCATGACTACTGCACGCTCCACTAATAATAGTACATGCAGCCCGATAGCACAGGGTGCCACGTGGAAGACCAAGACGGCAGACCAGTTTGCTGAGTTCACCCCCTCTGCTTCTGCAAGTGCAGTCAGGTTCCTTACTGCTCACACACCTTCTGGTCACTTATAAAAGGCGTCAGGTGTAGGGAAGGGTTTTTGACTGCCTAACAATACCTCACACATTATTCCTGGCTCTTGACTGTTGAGAAACAGGGCCCCAGCCCACCCTGAGGAGCTTCGCTGTGAGGTGAGAACCGGTCACCTGCCCAGAAGTGGTTTCAGTTAGTGGTTGGTGACACTCACCTGCCTTGGACTTCTCCAGCCCTGGTGCTCCAAGAATGAGCATGTCTAAAAGTGGGTTGAAAGCTACCCATGGAACGTCCCTGAACGAACCCTGGCCACCTTACTCAGGGAATGGTGCTGGCCGAAGTCCAACTCTTGTGAGAACTCAAGTCCTACATTAGCTACCAGGTGCACAAGTCACCCACCCTCAGGAAGACTTATGCTCATCACCTCAGCTCTGTGGTCGTCATGGCGGTCAGGGCCAGAGCGCTCCAGCAGAACAGGACACGCTTTGCCTTCGATGTCACACTGGGAAATTAGATCTTGCTCCAGAAGAGCCAGCAGCACTTCCTGGCTGGATTTTCTGACCTGGAGGGAAAATGGCAGGATGGAAACAGTGCCCTCCCAAGTGGCCCTACATCTTCCTCTGGGTCTACCCTTCGCTCTACTTCCCGAGGGAACCCCAGTCGCCTGTTGTACGTTTTTTTGTGTATGATTCATAATTGTCATGTGTCTTCCAGAGGGTGAAACTGGAGGGAAGCCCCACGTCTGAATTGCTGTCATTCTCAGTACATCCTTAGCACAAGCGGACGACACAGAGCATCTCAGTCTGTTAGGGCTTGTTGGATGGGCGCACAGCTGCCCCGCTGGAGGCACGGGTATCGGAATGGAAGCCACCACCTACCCTGCTCCTGTGCAAACCTGGCCCACCCGCCACCGAAGACCTGAGCAGTGTCTGCGAGAACCCCGCCACGGCAGAGAACGCTCCAAAGATGCCTCTTGTCCTTGGTCCCTGTGGATGGAGCGAGCCAACACCAGGGTGTAAAGGGACCAAAGAAGCTAAAGAGGCATATCTTTGGGAAATGAAAGCACCTGAGGTTCCCATTTACAGAGAGATCAGTGAATATGAGGTTCACTGTCAGGAAAGGAAGGGGGCAAAATCACTATGGGTCCCAGAAGTGAACAGACATTGTTGCCAATGATGAGTCCATAGCAGGGTACAAGAGGGTAAGCCCCAGGTCTGGGGCCACACAGGCGACATGACACCCGGGCTTCTGCCCCGAGTGCAGGAGGGCTGGGCTTCAAAGAGACCGCTCCGACCAGTGCTCCCAGTGAACTGCATGGGTGAAAGGCGCGGCCGGAAGGCCAGCAAGGAGCCGGGGGCAGAGCGCAGCGGGGAGGGGGAGGCCCCGCTACCTGGCCGTATCAAGAAAGGTGAGGATACCCTAGCAATATTACCTGGCATGGTGACAAGACTGGGTCTTGCTATGATGACTCAGGTGTCAAACTAACTGAGGAGCAGGCATGTGCCAGCAGCTAAGGACACGAGAAGGCCATGAGACAAAGAAACAACTCTGGGGCAGGTTGACGGGTAATACTCACTTGGGGGGTGACACCAAGTACACATGGAATGCACTAGAAAGGAATCAGAACGCTCACAGGTGACCACTAAGGATACACAGAGCAGTGGGGACATGGTCAGACAGAGAGGGCAGCAGAAACTGGACAGTCACAGTGGAGACAGGAGACATGGAGACAGGCGTTCAAAGACAGGACCAAGTACAGCTTGGTGCTGTCCAAAGATATTTCTATGTCAGTCTCTGGAACACAAAAATGTTAGAGTTTGGATCTTGTCTATGAGCTGAAGGGTTCAGTCCTTGGCCTGTGGTGATGCTGGGAGATGGGGGAACCTTTGGGTCAGGGGGCAGCAGAAAGTCAGGCCGCTGGGCCTTTTCTGGGCTCTCTTTCTGCTTCCTGCCCACCATGAGCTGAGCTTCACTGCTTCCTGCACACTCCCCAATACAATGTTCTACTTCACACAGGTCCCAGAGCAACAGAGCCAACTGGCCATGGAGTAAAAGTTCTGAACCCAGGATCCCAAAACATACCTTTCCTGGTTTTTTTTTTTGGGGGGGTGCTTGTTTGTTTGTTTTTCGAGACAAGGTTTCTCTGTATAGCCCTAGCTGTCCTGGAACTCACTCTGTAGACCAGGGTGTTCTTTTTTTTTTTTTTTTTTTTTTTTTTTTTGGTTTTTCGAGACAGGGTTTCTCTGTATTGTTTTGGAGGCTGTCCTGGAACTCACTCTGTAGACCAGGATGGCCTCGAACTCACAGAGACCCGCCTGCCTCTGCCTCCCGAGTGCTGGGATTAAAGGCGTGCGCCACCACCGCCCGGCCCAGGGTGTTCTTAGAATCACAGAGATCCCCCTGCCTCTGCCTCTGAGTGCTGGGATTAAGGCGTGCGCCACCACCGCCCGGCCCAGGGTGTTCTTAGAATCACAGAGATCCCCCTGCCTCTGCCTCTGAGTGCTGGGATTAAGGCGTGCGCCACCACCGCCCGGCCCAGGGTGTTCTTAGAATCACAGAGATCCGCCTGCCTCTGCCTCTGAGTGCTGGGATTAAGGCGTGCGCCACCACCGCCCGGCCCAGGGTGTTCTTAGAATCACAGAGATCCCCCTGCCTCTGCCTCTGAGTGCTGGGATTAAGGCGTGCGCCACCACCGCCCGGCCCAGGGTGTTCTTAGAATCACAGAGATCCGCCTGCCTCTGCCTCTGAGTGCTGGGATTAAGGCGTGCGCCACCACCGCCCGGCCCAGGGTGTTCTTAGAATCACAGAGATCCCCCTGCCTCTGCCTCTGAGTGCTGGGATTAAGGCGTGCGCCACCACCGCCCGGCCCAGGGTGTTCTTAGAATCACAGAGATCCGCCTGCCTCTGCCTCTGAGTGCTGGGATTAAGGCGTGCGCCACCACCGCCCGGCCCAGGGTGTTCTTAGAATCACAGAGATCCGCCTGCCTCTGCCTCTGAGTGCTGGGATTAAGGCGTGCGCCACCACCGCCCGGCCCAGGGTGTTCTTAGAATCACAGAGATCCCCCTGCCTCTGCCTCTGAGTGCTGGGATTAAGGCGTGCGCCACCACCGCCCGGCCCAGGGTGTTCTTAGAATCACAGAGATCCGCCTGCCTCTGCCTCTGAGTGCTGGGATTAAGGCGTGCGCCACCACCGCCCGGCCCAGGGTGTTCTTAGAATCACAGAGATCCGCCTGCCTCTGCCTCTGAGTGCTGGGATTAAGGCGTGCGCCACCACCGCCCGGCCCAGGGTGTTCTTAGAATCACAGAGATCCGCCTGCCTCTGCCTCTGAGTGCTGGGATTAAGGCGTGCGCCACCACCGCCCGGCCCAGGGTGTTCTTAGAATCACAGAGATCCACCTGCCTCTGCCTCTGAGTGCTGGGATTAAGGCGTGCGCCACCACTGCCCGGCCCAGGGTGTTCTTAGAATCACAGAGATCCCCCTGCCTCTGCCTCTGAGTGCTGGGATTAAGGCGTGCGCCACCACCGCCCGGCCCAGGGTGTTCTTAGAATCACAGAGATCCGCCTGCCTCTGCCTCTGAGTGCTGGGATTAAGGCGTGCGCCACCACCGCCCGGCGCAACTTTTCCTCTTGGAAACTGGGTTCTCTGGTGTGGTGGCACAGTGACAGCCACGAACGCTCTCTAAAAGGGGTCTTTGAAGGTGTGACTAGGACCCTGGGGTCAGCCAATCATCACAAGTATGTATTCACAGGAGGAAGAAGAGAGGAGGAAACGTGAAGAAATCCTTAGAGGGGCAGGCAGCAAGTGTCACAGTCACAGGAGCTGGACAGGAAAGGGCAGGTTCTCCTCAGAGCTCTGGGGCCCAACCCTGACAACACATAGCTCTCAAACTGTGAGGGTAAAGGCCCAGGGTTTTGAGCCACCAAGTTCCTGGCACTTTGTCTCCCTGGGAAACTGACGCACCAACAGCAATGGGAAAGGGACTTCAGGTTCATAGAGCAGCATGCTCTGAAGAACAGGAAGATGAAATCAGGAGGTGTGGCAAGCTCCAGGTGACAAAAGCAAGGGAAACAAACCTACATGGACTGAGGGTGAGGGGAGGTGAGCCCAGGAAAGGCTGTCACTGTGCCACTATGACCTCTGGGGGACCAATGCAACTACCAGTGAGTGCCAGCAAGGGCGTCAGAGCATAGAAATGACAAGATCATGCTTTGGTATGAATCACGGTAGCAGAGTAGCACCCTGTGGTGGGTCCAAGGATACCTAAGCATGGGTAAGGAGCTCCTGGCCCCGCAGACAGGAGAGAGAGAGAGAGGCAGGACAATGCCTGAGGAAAGCAATTAAGCAAGGGTGCCTGCTGACACTGCCCTGGCTACTATTTATTTACATATCTATATATCTATATCTATACCTATAAGGAGGGAGGGAGGGAGGGAATGGTAGGCAGAGTAGAGAGAGGAGGAGGTACAGGAGAGTCTGGTCTCTCTGGTCTACAAAGTAAGTTCCAGGACAGCCAGGGCTATTACACAGAGAAACCCTATCTCAAACAAAACAAAACAAAAAACCCACGCACATATACACAACAACAACAAAACACACAAACAAACAAATAAACCCCCAAACTAAAACAAAAGATAGGAAGTAGTTCATATCCGTTATCCCAGCACCCGGTAGGGTGAAGCAACTGTGAGTTCCAGGCCAGCTCAGGCTACAGCTGAGACTCTATCTCAACTCAAGCAAACAAACAAGAATGCATGTGCTGCATGTATTTCACCTACTAACAGCCTGGTCAATGTCAAATGTGCTGAGTGATGACATTAGCACCAGCTGGACAAGATCGCCTACACTAACCCGACCTAACAGTACAGTGCTGCCTAGCTCAGGTGACTGGTTGGATGCAATAATGAGGGTAAAGGTCACAGCGGTCCTCTGTGTACACACTGGGGCCACCACGCAAACCATCACAGAGAACTGACATAAGCCTCCCAGCATGCAAAGCGCTGAGAACAACCGTGAGGACGCATAGTGCTCAAGAGGACGCTGGCTGTGGCTGTCCCTAAAGTCACCGTGACCAGAGCACAGGAAGGCGTGTGTACAGAATCCCAGCTTAGGGCCCGAGAGGATCAAGGGACACTTCGGTCCTTTTTCCTTCACACTGTCTGGGCTGACAGGCATCCCGTTCCAATCTCAAAAACCCAAAGTAGCAACAGTAACAAATGGGGCCTGGATGGATGGGAGACGGGAAAGAGGCTGCCAACAGGTGACCGGGATTGGGGTGGGGGCTGGGGTACAAATGCAGTGGTAGCCACTCACAGTGAACAGCTGACTACTTCAATGGTCGACAACACAGAGGAACAAGCCACTGCGGCCCAGAAAGCCCCCACACTGTTTATGTGATATGCTAACACTCCACTCAGAGCCACTCTCACAAGTGGGGTGACTGTGACAGCCCGCATGCAAAGGCTGGTGGCACTCTGCAGCAGGAGAGGGGTACACAGCACTTGGAACCACTGCTGTGACCTCAAAATCAAAAGCAAAGAGCCGCCAAGCACAACCACAAACAC